TAAAATAACAGTAAAAAAACATGATGGGTTAAGTCAACTTGAATATGAATGCTGCAGAGACGGACTATCAATAGATGGTTGAACATCTGCAAGGGGATGGCCTGAATAAAAATGTCCATCAAAACATCTGGAATGGCTTCCTGGTCTTAGTGATTCTACAAAAAAATGGAACCTGTAATTTAATTTTAACTATAGCTAGGAAGGGATGGCTTCTTTTCTTAGTTTTTCAAATGATTTAATATTTTTGGATAAACTTTTAAAATGACTTCCTTTGTGATATAAAAATACAAAATATCATATATAAAACATATTAAAACATGTTTCATAATTTTAAATAATTATAAAAATTGGTCCATAAATATTAATTTGAAACGCTTATCTAACAATATTAAACTGAGACCCAAGACTTGATCTCTACAATTTTTCCCACCAGCTGGGTGTTAACTAGAGTTGAGCGGACACCTGGATGTTTGGGTCCGGCGAACTTGACCCCGAACCCGAACCCCATTTAAGTCAATGGGGACTCGAACTTTTGGCCACAAAAATGACTCTAAAAAACTCCTGGAAAGGGCTAGAGGGTTGGTAAAGGAAGTAAAATGGGGGTAAGAGTGGGACAAGTGCCCTGCAAACAAATGTGGATAGGGAAATAACTTAAAAATAACAATAAAATAAGCAGCCGCTTAGTAGATAGCTCCCTAATTCACACGGTATTCGGGAGCTATCTACCAAAAGGCTGAAAGACCTAACTTTGTCACCTAAATTGGTCTTTCAGCCACATTTACTAATACTAAGTAAAGATTATTTAGTGTTAGTAAATTCAGCCCCTCCAAAGAACTTTCCCACGCTGTGTAAAATGACATAGCACTCTGGTGGATTTCATTTCTGGTGGATTTAAATGTAGAGACTTACCTGTCAGTCTCTTTATTTACCTGTCAGAGCACTCTGATTGGATGGCTTAAACCCACCAATCAGAGTGCTCTGAGCCTAATTGCAGGGTGGGCAAGGCTTTATAAGCCTTCCCCCGCCCTGCAGAGCTCAGTCTGCGCAGAGCCCTCCATGGGTGAAGAAGGATTTTTTTTTTTGCACTCGTTTTATTCTGGATTTTTATTTGGCTTTTTGGGGGGGCTGAAAAATTGATTTTTATTTATGGCCCCCACTTGCCGCGCAGGGGTGGGGGCTGGGGGGGAGGACATTAGGTCCCCCCCAATTTTTATTTATGGCCCCCACCCACCACTCAGGGATGGGGGCCGGGGGGTAGGACATTAGGTCCCCCCCCACCAATTTTTATTTATGGCCCCCACCCACCGCTCTGGGTTGGGGGCCGGGGGGAGGACATTAGGTCCCCCCCCCCAATTTTTTTTTATGGCCCTCACCCACCGCTCAGGGGTGGGGGCCGGGGGGGAGGACAATAGGTCCCCCCCTTATTGTTATTTAGGGTTCCCACCCGCCGCACAGGGGTGGGGGCCAGGGAGAGGACAGTAGGTCCCCCCATATTGTTATTTAGGGCCCCCACCCACCGCTCAGGGGTGGGGGCGGGGGGGCAATAGACGATGTGCGAGTGGGGGCTCAGGCTGCTCACTGTTTAATAGATACGCCCCTACTCGCGGTATAGCGAGTAGGGGCATAATTTACTAATACTAAATGACCAGCTTCTATAGAGGCTGGGTCACATACTGCACCGGCCAATCACAACCATGCCATTAGATGTGATGGCTTCTAAGAGCATACGAGTCAAACGCTTGTTGATTGGCTGCCCTGCGGCCTTTCAAAACGCGTCATTAAATCGCAGAACTCCGAACTTCAACCCGAACATACAGTGATATGTCCATGTTTGGGTCCAGGGGTCCAAAAAACTTAATGTTCGGTACGAACCCGAACTTTTCAGTTCGGGTTCGCTCAACTCTAGTGTTGATCTGTTGTTTAGAAGGGGCTACTTTTCCAAATGTTTAGCAATCAAAGTTGATAAGACTTGACAATGGGCTGAGCTTAAACAAGGTTTACGTTTCAGTTGCCAATCACATATATCGACAATCCATCAGTCGAAAGAATCCAACTGAAGGGCAAATGGCAGACATGGTTAGAGGAAAACAAAATGGCTGCACCCAGATATTAAGATCTGGCGCATGAATGAAAAGATAATAAATATAAATAAAGGCAAGTGTCACGGTTGGGACTATAACCACTAAGATACATGTTAAGGAAAGCCAAGGAAGAAGGAAAACCAAAAGTGAAATAATTTCTGCTATACCACCACACAGGCCACATTTTTTTCTTCCTCATTTTTGATTTCCAATAAGCATTGACAACCTTTTAAGAAGAGTCTGTCATCTCTTTCTATCTAGTTGTTGGTGTTTGCAAACTTTTATGTAAGAATACTTTGAAACATGACTCATGGTTGTTTTTCTACATATGATTCTTTGAGGGTATGTGTTATCTAGTTAAAGGTATACTGTAGGTACTGTAGCTGCTATGTCTCATTAAATTGATTATGGTGTCTGGAGCCCAATGGCACCATCCTCCCATTCAGTCTTAAACCATTTTTAATGTCTTAATGTTGTACAAGAGTTACAAGCAGTCCAACCTCCCTTTGCTGCTTGGGCTAATGAAGAAGCATTAGACTGAGCAGCAATGAGTAGTTGTGATTAGCTGTGATTGTCAGATGACTGATGTCAGCCTATTACAGTGCCCATTCATGTATAAATCAGCATGGCTAAAAGGATGGGTGTAATCTCTGCCTTAGCTATGCCTCCAGCGGGGGTGGGGCTATGGGAAGCCAGGGACCCTAATTAAGTGTTAAGCTGCTGTTAAATGGTTTAGCACTGAATAGAGGGACAATGCCAGGGAACTCCCGACACTCCCATTAGATGAAATAGTTATGGTATAGTATAGCCTCCAGTGTCCTTCTAAAGGATTACTCCAATCATCATAACTGCTACAGACTGCTGTAGTGGTTATTATGCCTGGAGTATTCTTGCAATGGTTTGCTTCCTAACCAGAGTCCTGGGTCCAGCAGTAGAAGCCAATAACTGCTATTCTATGCAACAAAAGCAATACAGTGCACATACAGACACCAGGCCCGCTTCAAATCACTGAAGTGGTCATGATGCCTGTATTTAATCCCTAATTGATAGCAAAGATGAAACATTTGAAATGATAACATTATCATGCATTTTTGTATTTGTGCAGATTATTACATTTCCTGGATGCAGAATGTAGGGGTAATTTATGTATTCTTGGTTCCTGCATGAAACTTTTCTATGAAGCTGTTTTTGGTAACAAGCACTAGTATATTGTACCTATAGTGAATATTAAATAAGTTAAAGAAATTGGAAGTGGCACATGAAACATTACTAGGTGATCATAATTTAGGAAACTCTAAGAACCAAGACAACGTTAGCTTAATGGAGCAGTGTTGGTGCATAGATCATGCCTTTGGAGCCTCACTGCTAAAGTCTCTGTCAATTAGGAGTTAAAATTATTCTGTTTCTATGTATGCAGCTCTAGTAACATCCATCTCACACAGACTCTGTTATTTTATTTTTTTTCAATCAGGTCTTATTGGACAGTGTGTTTACTATAAAAGTGCTTAGCTATGAGGCTGTTGCAGGCTCTAACAGGCAATTAACAGAGCATTAGATAAGAAATTTTAAGTAAAACATATTGTGCAATAAGGGAAGTAAAAAAAATAGACACTTTTTCAGGAAGTGTGTAAATAGACTGTCTGGGTCTCTGTCACGGGATGTGTGGCTACAGGTGCAGTAGCAAACTGGTTTATCTCTTAAATGACCACTATGACTGTAGAAACAAGATCTGTATACTAAATCCACTTAAAAGAGCACTATAGAGTCAGAAATACAAAGGTGTAGTCCTGACCTCATAGTGTTAAAAACACTATTTAGCTCACAGCCCCCACTTTCACCCGTTAAATAAGTAGAAAACTTACCTGAAATGGAATGAACTGGAATGTGAAATAATTTGCAAGATATTTAACATAAATTTAAAAGCAAACTAAGCATCACATAAAAAAGATGAATATAAGCTTTGGATGTTTTTTTAATTTTTTATTCAATGGTGCAACTTTTAAAGAAGTCACAGTTACAGTACACACACACAAGGCATGAAAAAACAATATTTACATAAGGGGGTTTTACTATACTCCACAGGATACTGTTACGTGTAAATAGCTGTACAGTTCATATCAGAAATAATGCTTTGATAAAAATCAGTGTGCTAGTCTTCGTGAAATATTCAAACTATTTAAAATGGTAATGCCTTCTATTTTGCCTTCTAAATACCCAATCATTTGGCATTTCTTTCTTTATAACTGAGGCCACTAGAGGTCATTTCATTCTTATTTAAAAGATTATCTTTGTTTCACAGTATCACAGTGGATTAACATACCAGAAGCCAACATAATAAATGTAAGTACTCAAGTACAACATGGTAAAAAACCTACAATATTATATTATATATTCATTCAGACTGAAATTCACTACAGTCTGGACTCTATTGAGCACCATAGCCGATTCAATAATGTTTTGTTATTGGTAATTAGGTAATTCTGTAAATTGACAGACAGAGTCAAAAAGCTCAGCTATAGATTAGTATTAAATCAATATTAAAGGGTTTGTCCTACTGACCTATTTACTAACAATCAAAGTCACATTAGTGACAATATTGGCCTAATTTAATATTTTGGATAAACTTTTCATATTTAATTTTTTTGGATACACTTTTAAAATGATTTTAAAATGTTAAATATATTTTAATATTTTGATTTTTCTTAATATATATTTTACATATTATATATTTTTTATATTTGAATATTTTAAAAAATTAATTTGAAATGTTTAGCCAAACATATTAAATTATTTGAAAAGCATATCAAAGGCATTAAATCAAGACCATTATTGCCAAAAATTACTAAACTCCATGCTTTCTCTAACGTTTTAAAACATGAATAAACATAGTTCCGTTGAGTAACAATAACATTCCAATTAGCATATCAGAGGGAATACAATGGTAGAATAGTCATAGGGCATAAGAAGTATTAAACAAAATGGCATTTCAATTCAAGATGATTTAAACAAAAAAAATATCATAAATGGACACAATTGTCATCAGAAAAACTACAGCTAATGTGCTAAAATACTGGTGCTGGTAACCAAGGCCAAATATCTTGTTATAAACAAGGGACAATTAAGACTTAGAATCATCCTTCTGGACTTGGATTGTAGTATACAGGAAAATACCATATAGTCAGTATAGCCAACAGCACGTGGTTCTAAATCGCCAAAACAGGACATACGGGACTTATGTAGATGCTCACCAGGAACATTCTAAATGTGACCCATTTCTTATAAGCAAACCCAATAATATGTAACAGGTCCAAAGTGTAGTAAAATAAACTGTCCATACATATACAAGCTATTAATTTATACTGCTAATGCACTTACTTGAGAAACGACAAAAAGTAACAAAGCAGGTGGCATAAACACAAACAGTCCACTGCAGGCATGAGCTTGACTAGCCTTCTTGCCATCTCAACTGGGAGATAGTTTAGGTCAGATCTAAGGTCACAAAAAATGTACACGCAGCGAGGCACCTTTCATAGGGCTGTGTGTACTGGTTCTCCAGGCAGAGAGAGGCTGAACTCCAAATTTCAAAACTTAAGATAAAACCGTAAACCTTGCAAAAAGGAGAAACTATTCAAAGACAATAAAACACAAAAAAAGACTGGAGAATCTATGAGGGTATTTATAATTGCGTTTCCTATCCTAAACAGCCAAGTGGGTGGATATAACCCTACTGTGATTCTGCTATGCATCTGTCCTTTTTTTTTTAACAATGGCATTACTACTGTATATTGTGGGTGACTACCAAATTGTTTAAATCAATCCTTCATTTGTGTAACAAATGAGTGAAGATTCATTGCTGATCATGTAGAAAGATTAACCAAGCCATTAGCAATGAGATATTAAAAGTGCTCTACATGATGGTCATTTTTAATCATATACTACAGGTAAGTGACTATCATTAATAATTATTATTATTTTTAGTATTTTATTATTTATAAAGCGCCAGCAAATTACGTAGCTCTGATCTAGATAACATTTTCTTGCCCACAGAGTGGATTGTAGAAAAGCTCATAGTTTGCACTCCCACATAAAGTGTTATTCTATACTTCACTTTTTTTTAAATAAACATCTTACCTGGCATCAACTTTCACCTGCCCGTACGATAAGTACTTCCATAATGGACTTCGTTAACCACTTGATATTCTGATTTTTAAAGAGCTATTGGGGAGCCTGTTGTTGATCTAATTTACCATGAAAATTATTAAATCCAGTAGAGCAGCAAAGTAATTTAACACAATTTCCATAGACTTTGATAAATGAAGTACATGCCTGAAACAAATGCATTTCACCTTTTATGTTTCTCGTAACCAATGCAAATAGTGATTATAACTGTTCCAGGCTATAATTAAAATTAGATGTATTACAAATGATTTCTGTACAAATTGTTTAATGCCACTTAGCACTGTGCCACAGGTTCCATCCCATATTTTATGGTCCAATACCATTTGCAAAGGCCACATTTTTTACTTGAAGTTCTTTAAGCACAGGTTATTGATGGCATTGAATCTGTTGCAGACTACATTTCCCATGAGGCTCAGCCAGCCATCTGGCAGCTAGTTAGCACTTATATTTTTTCATCTGGAAATTACAGTACATTACTGTAAGCATAGACAGTTTAGAAGGAGTAATGAAAAAAAGCAAAAATGGATGACGATCAGTAGCAAATGATTTGCCCCATCTTGGAGGAGAACAGACACTGTCTTCTACATAATAACAATGACAGTCATGTGACAAATGCCTTGTCCATGCAGTAAAAATAGAATGATAGCCACCTGCGGGAAGCAGTCTCTGGAGCAGAGAAGAGGCTGCCCCATACCCCCTCCTCCTGTATCCATGCTTGATGGAGATGAGCAGATTTGCATTAATTGTTATGGTTTTCGCACTGTTTAAAAATTAATGAGAGCACAGCATTTAACAAATCAACCTTTTTTTTAAGTGCTTTCAAAAATCTTTGTTAAATAAAGATGACTTTTTTCTATTTAACTCCGTGCAATATATTTTGTGCTTGTAAGTTAGAACTGTGTTTATATTATCTTTATCTTAATATAGCTGCCAATATCACCTTGTTAATGATCAAGTATTAATATTATCTTTTACTGAAACCTGTTATTAATAATGTACCACCATATGAGGTGTTTTTTTTTTTTTTTTTCCAGAATGATAAATTATTAAATAACAAACAAAGATATTTTCCACCTTCGGTAATTGAAAAGCCTACTTATCTCCTGTTTCTGTGTGCCAATCAACAACGAGAAGACTGTGGTGGTCTCTTTTGTGTTATCCTCTTATTGCGAATCTTGCTGGTGAGCTTTCCCTGGTGCTCGCATTGTCTGTGCTCAGTCAAGCTAATGTCTATCATGTAAGACAAGGATTGTGTGCAGTGCATAGTAGTAAGGACAAAAGATTTGGCCAGGATTTCTTATAACACTACCCTCTACGAATGGATTTGGACAAACAAGAAGCATTATCCTATATGTTATTTTACATAAACCATATTTTACTTTCAAGAGGTTAAGAGACTATGCAGGAGAGACTATTTGCCAAAAGATGTAAAGCTTTCTTGGCTGAAACTTTTGTTAATTGTCTGTCGTTAAGAGACTGCAAATGACCTGTCAATTAATTAATTAAAACAGTACAACAATAAACAATGAAGACATACTGTCTTCACAATAGATTAATACCAAGGTATATTATTGAAAAAATAAGAAAATGCAAAAATAGTTTGTTAAAAGAAGAATATCTTGTACATCATGAGAAAAAAAAAATGTTTCTTCCATTTATTTTTACTGTAGCAAAATGTAGTGTGACAAAAAATTGCAGTATTAAATTTTTTATTTTTTTTTTAAATTTAATACTTATCATTCATGCTTTCATTTTCTATTTAAAATTGTAATTAAATTGTGGCATGTGGAGATATTTTTTTCTTGTAATTAGTACTTATGGCAGATGTTGTGGGTGAAAAATAGAATAAAAACGTATTAATATTATTTACAAAGCAAGAGTCATACAGTGCTGTACAATGGGTAAATGCTGCAAGTAATTGCAACAGCACAATGAAGGCAGGGATAAAGTACAGGAATAAGAGGTGACAGGAGCCCTACACAGGTTAAAGGAAATCAGGTAAACAAAAGAAAAAAGCATATTGTAGCTAGAAGGGAAGGAAAGTTGTTGGGTCTAGCACCAGTACATAGTATATTTGTATATTATATGACACATGGCAGAGAAGAAAGTTAAACACGTATAGGCAGACAGCTGCTGTAGTGTGTGTAAGAGAATTGAGCATCACATAAAAAAAGGTTAGCACAAGTTAGGTGATTTTCACTGGCCTATTCAACTGTAAACACTGTAAGTGACAGTTTTCATTTAAGTTTCTGAAGGAAAATTCTTGTTAGCAATGTCCGTCAAACTAAGGGTTTTCTCCTCTCATTGTAGTTAAGTGCCCACGGAGTACATAATCAGTATTGGATTTTCAATGATGATATTAATTGCTTAATTGGCCTCAGGGTTTCATGCCGAAGAGTTGTACCTCTTGATGAACATAAATATCTGTAAAGGTCATTTCGGAATTAAACTATTATGTCTCAAATGTCTCAAGAGGCAGTCTTCAGGGGCCATGCTGATTTTGGTATTTGCCCCAAATTATATAAATTAGCCCCCTTCCGGTGCAGAATACAAGCTACCAAGGAAGGTCCTAGGAAGGTGCGTAATTTCAGCAATATCTGTTTTTAATATGGGATTCTGTGTATAAAGACATTCTTCCAGTGATGTCTGTATCCCACAAAATTCAAACACATAAGGGATGATTTTTGTAAAAGACTGACTGATTCCTCAAAAGTAGTCCTTTCTTTCCTAATAATAAAGTGGTCTGAGACAATGACAAGATCATAGAGCCTTGGAAAAAGAAATCACCTTATGTGGAGGGCATAGTGTCATCATAATTTACTGTGGAGCAGAAGCATAAAAAATTGTCCTGCACCCCCCCACCCGATGTGTCTCATTACCTCCAATGTTTCTAATTCCCCCCCAGCCCCTCCATGTGTCTCATTCAACCCCAGACCCTCATGTGTTTCATCCTCCCACCCCCACACTTCTCCATGTGACTCATCTTCCCCCAGCCCCTCCATGTGTCTTATCCACCCCCAAGCTACCAAATGTAACTCATTCTCCTCCCCAGACCCCCCCACCCCCCATGTGTGGCATGTGTCTCATTCTTCCCATTCCAGCTCCTCCATGTGTTACATTCAACCCCCAGTCCCTCCATGTGTCTCATCACCTCAATGTGTCCTAGGTCCTCAACATGTCACATTCCCCCCATATGTTTCATTCCCCCCATGTGTTTCATTCACCTCCCATCATCTGAAATATAATTTATATCAACCTGACTAAAAAAATCAAAGAACAAAATAAAATCCATTAAAAAAAAATTCTTAAAGAAACACTCCAAACACCATGACCATTCCAGTGCAGTGCATTAGTTATAGTGCTAGGAGTACCCTGGCGCTTTTCCAGTTAAGAAGTCAAACTGTGTAAGAACAGCATGACAACCTATCTGGGGTCCATTGAGCGCCTGCTACCACCTTCTCTGTAGCTGGAAGCTCTATCTCTCTTTATGCTCTTGGGCATAAACACTCCCAACAATATAGTGTTCCTTTAAACCAAGCGTAACAACAACAAAATTAGTGAAGTTACTAAGCAGAGCTCTACAACTGGTGAAAGGAATGGAAGAGATTGAATATGTACAATATATAATTAGACAACTATTCTCATGAGACTAAAATCTAGCATTTTTATATTTTTTACACAAAATGAAGCGCAAGACATGGTGTGAGCTTACAATCTAAAGGAGCAAGTAATGATGGGCGAGTAAACAGTAGCAGGGACTTTTTTCAATGTACAGTCAGATTTTTTTATAAAGGGGCCTCTCCGAGGCGGAGACGACTTTTGCAGGTTTGTAATTTGGACACAGAGGGGGCAAGGTCAATGGAAAGGAGTTGCCAAATTAAAATTAGTGTCATCAGATTCAAGTTCTTGCCCAAACTATTAACACTCTGTCCCCAAAGGTTGACTTGTTTAAATTCCTTCCCACTTTTCTGGATATGGTAAATAGGAATATTTTTTTCTCATATATTGATCTCAGCTACCTCAATATTACCATGTTACTGGAAGACACTGAAATTACCTATTAAGTCAGAAATTATTGCTTCTATTTGTGAAAACAAGAGCTACGAGCTCACTCATACATACAAAACTAACTACTCTTTGGGACCAGTGGGAAAATGTAGTAAAGAAAAAAAATGTCCTATTGTTAAACACCAGCCTTTTTTATTACTTTATTTTTTCACCTTTCTTTTTTCTCTATTTGCAAACTCATTGATTTGGTTTGGTTTAATGTTAATATGATGCAACCCTTTGATGCTATTTCATAATATACGTCAATTAAGACTGAACTATTGCAAAGTATTGGCGGATGTTTGCTCTAGAGCAGCGGTTCCCAAACTGTGTGCGCCGCGGAATATTTCCCCGGTGCTATAATCACAGGGAAACATTACTGCTGAACAGGGACCCGGTCGGGTGCCGCGGTCCTTTAAGACCTCGACCAGGCACCTGTAATGTCGGCCATACAAATATACCCTTATATTAAACCACTAAAACTAAATATAAGCACCTCTTCAAACACCAACACTGTACATTACACTATAGCGACAGTAAATGCCGCATAGCTATACAGATATACAACCTAGAAATTTTTACTTGGGGTACCTTGGAAAAATATTGAAATATTAAGGGCGTCTTGAACCTAAAATGTTTGGGAACCGCTGCTCTAGAGCATATATCCCATTTTCATAGAACTAAGTCATTTTTAAGTGTTATAACTCCCTCTCAGCTACCCTGCCCCTCCTCTCTTACCCCTCCTCTCTCAACCTTCTCTTTTTCTTCCCACCCTAAACTATAGAATCATATAAGACATTTTTCTTTTTTTTTTTTTTTCACTTCAAAAAGATTAATTGTTAACTATACATACAATAATGATACAATGAAGCATTGTATTGTTGTTACTGTAAACTATTTTTGTTTTACTCTTTTTTGTATACTTAATGTATATATGTATTCATTATAAAAGTATTGCATATATTGATTTAAAAATATAAAACCTTTAATAAAAGATATTTGAAGGGGGTGTGCTTTCCTGGCATATACAAACACCAGGATGATGGGCTGCCTGGCAATCATAATGTGGGGACTTATCTGGCATCCCAGGCCATCCCCCTGATGCTGATCCGGCCCCCTCGGGCCATTCGATCGCGGGGTCCTAGCGATCACATGGCTGTAATAGCCAGCTTGTGCAGTGCCTGCAGGGGGAGTACCTGAGCTCTCAGGCTGTCCCCCTCATGCCTGCAAAAAAGTTTTAAAAGTTAATAAAAGTTGTTAAAAAGTTTAATAAAGTAAATAAAAGTACTTGGATTATATATATATATATATATATATATATATATTAAACATTTATGCTGCTCTCCTACAGCCTTGCTCTTTCTGCTGCAAAAGTAAATTACTTTAACACCCTCATAAGTACACTGTCCCATCAGTCCAAACACCTATTTCACACTTTTGATTCTCTTCTTCGCCCTTTTACTCCCCCTCCTTCTACCACCTTGTCCGCCACAAACTTTGCATCTCACTTCACTGAGAAGATCTCTACAATCAGAGAAGAGAACTCTAATTTCTCTCCTTTCCCTACCAATATATCACCCAACCCCACTCCCGCCACCATTCTGCACTCATTTGCACCTGCTACAGCAGAAGAGGTTTCTACTTTGCTCCGGTCCTCCCGCCCCACCACCTGTTCCCTCGATCCTATTCCCTCGTATCTCATCCGCACTTTGTCTCCCTCTCTTGCTTTCCTCTCACTAAAATTTTCAATCTCTCACTTTCCTCTGGCACATTTCCCTCACCCTTCAAACATGCAACTGTAACCCCGATTCTGAAAAAGTCCAACCTTGACCCCAACTCCCTATCCAACTACTACCCTATCTCACTACTGCCATTTGCCTCCAAGATCCTCAAGAGAGTTGTGTACACCAGACTGACTGACTTTCTCGAAATCCAACTCTCTGCTTGACCCCCTTCAGTCTGGATCCTGCACTGGTCATTCTGTTGAAACGGCTGTGACCAAACTACCCAATGATTTAATTGCTGTAAATCTCGCGGCCATTACTCTATCCTAATTCTCCTTGATCTTTCTGCTGCCTTTGACACTGTTGATCGTCAACAGCTTCTTCACATTCTACGTCATTTTTTTAATATCATTACATATATTATATGTTTATATAATATTATAATATTTATATAATATTTTTACATAATTAAGTCATTTTATTAATTACAATTTGAGGGACCTGCCTGACAACTCAGGCCGAAAATTTAATTTGCTAGCCCTGTATTTAGCCCTGTAACTTTCCATGACACCCTAAAACCTGTACATGGGGGGTACTGTTTTACTTGGGAGACTGCTGAACTCAAATATTAGTTACATAGTTACATAGTTACATAGCTGAAAAGAGACTTGCGTCCATCAAGTTCAGCCTTCCTCACATTTGTTTTTTGCTGTTGATTAGTGTTTCAAAACAGTAAAACATATCACAGCGATGATATTGTCAGTGAAAGTGACGCTTTTTGCATTTTTCACACACAAACGGCACTTTCACTGATGATATCATTGTTGTGATACGCTTAACTGTTTTGAAACACTAATATTTGTGTCCAGCGAAGTCTCCCGAGTATAAGAGTACCCCCATGTACAGGTTTTATAATTTTTACAGGGTCAAATATAAGGCTTCATTTTCCATTTTTTCACAATGAAATTTGACAGATTGGTTATGTTGTCTTTGAGAGTGCATGGTAGTCCAGGAATGTGAATTAACCCCATGAAGGCATACCATTTGCAAAAGAAGACAACCCAAGGTATTGCAAATGGGGTATGTTCAGTCTTTTTTAGTAGACACTTAGTCACAAACACTGGCCAAAGTTAGCATTCATAATTGTTTTCAGCATTTTTAACACAAAAAAAATATCAATTCTAACTTTGGCCAGTGTTTGTGACTAAGTGGCTACGAAAAAAGACTGGACACATCCCATATTGAATATCCTGGGTTGTCTACTTAAAAAAATATGTACATGTAATTCAGAGATTTATGACAGATAACAGTGTTACAATGTCACTATTGATAAATTTTTAAAATATATATTTTGAAACAGCAATGTCCTATTAGTACTTTTAGCTCTATAACTTGCAAAAAAAAAAAGAACATGTTAAAGGGACACTATAGTCACCTGAACAACTTTAGCTTAATGAAGCAGTTTTGGTGTATAGAACATGCCCCTGCAGCCTCACTGCTCAATCCTCTGCCATTTAGGAATTAAATGCCTTTGTTTATAAACCCTAGTCACACCTCCCTGCATGTGACTTGCACAGCCTTCCATAAACACTTCCTGTAAAGAGAGCCCTATTTAGGCTTTCTTTATTGCAAGTTCTGTTTAATTAAGATTTTCTTATCCCCTGCTATGTTAATAGCTTGCTAGACCCTGCAAGAGCTTCCTGTATGTGATTAAAGTTCAATTTAGAGATTGAGATACAATTATTTAAGGTAAATTACATTTGTTTGAAAGTGAAACCAGTTTTTTTTCATGCAGGCTCTGTCAATCATAGCCAGGGGAGGTGTGGCTAGGGCTGCATAAACAGAAACAAAGTGATTTAACTCCTAAATGACAGTGAATTGAGCAGTGAAATTGCAGGGGAATGATCTATACACTAAAACTGCTTTATTTAGCTAAAGTAATATAGGTGACTATAGTGTTCCTTTAACATGTTAACGTCGGTATTTCTAAACTCAGGACAAAATTTTGAAACTATTTAGAATGGGTGTTTTTTGGCGGTTGTAGATGTGATTTTGGGGGTCAAAGTTAGAAAAAGTGTTTTTTTCATTAAATTTTATAAAAATTTGTTATAGTAAATTATAAGATATGATGAAAATAATGGTATCTTTAGAAAGACCATTTAATGGCGAGAAAACCGGTATATAATATGTGTGGGTACAGTAAATGAGTAAGAGGAAAATTACAGCAAAATACAAACACTGCAGAAATGTAAAAACAGCCATGGTCCTTAATGATGAGAAAATTGAAAAACAGTCTGGTCACTAATGTGTTAAAGAAACATTATCACATTAGGATTTATAATAATCGAACCTGAGAATCTCAATTCAATGGGGAATCCCACAGGAAAGCATTGGGAGGCTAGAGCAGGTGTACCCAATTAATTTTTCTCGTGGAACCCTTTGACATAATGCACAAGAAAGTGGAACCCAAAAAAATTTGGTGCCGTAGGGCAGATAGTAAACAGATAGTAGTACTTAGGAGCAGGTGTGCTTTTGTGTGTACAGTTGGTGTTTGTATATAATTTTAGCATTTTGATACAGGGGTGTGTTTGTATGTAATGTTTGCATTTGCGTGCAGGGGTGTGCTTGGATGTAGTGTTAGCTTTTAAATGCAGATGTACATTTGTGTGTAGTATTAGTGTTTGAGTTAAAGGTGTGTTTGAGTGTTTGTATATACATTTAAAATTTGTTTCCAGGGGTTTTTGTATGTAATATTTGTGTTTGCAGGAGTGTGTTTGCATGTTGACTTGGTGTTTGATTGCTGGGATATATGCACATAAACGTGTTTGATTGCTGGGATGGTGTTTGATTGCTGTATGTATGCCACGTACATACATACACAAACAAATTAACACAGAGACACACGTATAAAAAACATTGACAAATACACACACATTCATATACACAGTGACATATACACACAGACACAAAGATACAAACCTTGGCACTGGCACATACACACACAAACACACCAATAAACACATACTGTCATACATACACACTCAGATACACACACTCAGACACACATTCACTCCCACTGACAAACACACATACTCTTTGACAGAAACACATACAAACACATATACATTCTCACTGACAAGCACACATACATTCTCACTGACAAACACATACACACTCGCTGACAAGCACACAGACACTCTTACTGACAAACACACATACACACAAACTCACTGACAAACACACATACTCACTGAAAATACTCACACACATACAAACTCCTTAACAGACACACACAATTTATACATTTTTTTAAATTTCACTAAACCCAGCCTCCCTACCGTTGAGAGTGCAGGCATGGAGTCTCTATTTCCAGTGGGGCTGCTTGGCTGAGCGGCTGGCATGTGGTCCATGGGGTCCAGTGGGGCTCCTGGGCTGATCGGCTGGCGTGCAGGCATTGGGGGAGCAGTGATCTTCCTGCTCAGCTCCCTTGCGCGCCTCTTAGTGATGCCGGGGCCGGAATGAGGTCATATTCCAGCTCCGGCATCACTGCAGTGCGCGCGAGGGAGCTGAGAAGGGTTGAGTGCTTCCTTGCTGCCCGTCTCAATTATCAGCGGCGGACATTTTGTATTCTGAAATTGAGGTGGAACCTTATTTGTGTTCTCGCGGACCCCCAGGGTCCTGCGGAACACCATTTGGGAAACGCTGGGCTAGAGCACATGCACAGTGAATTGCCAGACTGCACCAATCAGCATCTCCTTATAATGATACATTCAGTCAATGCATCTCTATGGGAAGCATGCCGCGCTTCCATGCAGCGTATGGAGATGCTGAACACCAGTCTTGTAATCTTTGCGGTACTCAGTGGCGGATCCAGAGCCTGATCTCGGGAGGGGCACTTGTAGATTATTTAAAGAAATAATCCATGCACAATAACCACTACATCGCTGTGTAGTGGTTATGGTGCCGGGACCCCCTCCCAGAGTAAGTAGTCAAACCATTTAAGAACAGTTTGACAACTTACCTAGGGTCTGCTGGGATATGGGACTGTAGTAGGGCATAGGAGCAGTGGTGTGTGAAAGGTTCAGTGTGTGTGGGGCAGTGTGTGTATGGGAAGCTGTGTATGTGTGTGTGGGGCAACGTGTGTATGGGAAGCTGTGTAAGTGTGCGTGGGGCAATGTGTGTATGGGGGGGCTGTGTGTGTGGGGCAATGTGTGTATTGGAAGCAATGTATGTGTGTATGGGGGGCTGTGTGTGTGTGTGTGTGGGGCAGTGTGTATATGGGGGGGCAGTGTGTGAAGTGTATGGTGGGTGGGGGGCAGTATATGTATGGGGTGCAGTGTGTGAATGTGTGGTGAGGAGGGTAGGAGGGCTTTTTTTTATAATTAAAAACAAAAACAAACTGGTGGTCCCAGTGGTGGTGAGGTAGCTCCCTTGCGAGATCCAGTCCATTACCGTGGTAACCGCAGCAACGCTCCATGCTTGCGAGAGAAGGACCCAGAGGAGCTGCAGGCTGAGCTCCCATGTCCTCTCTCCCTTGCCGGCTGCCAGCATAGTGCCTGCGGACCGGGGAGGGAGATCCCTGATCTCCCCTGCGGTCCTTGAAGGCACATTGCAGGGCTGGTGCTTGGACAATGCCAGCCCTGCATTAGCCGGCAGGGGAGAACCTTGGGGGGGGAGGGGCAATTGTCCCGTTACACCCCCTCCCCCACCCCCCAGGGCCGCCAGTGGCGGTACCAAACCCAGGAAGCTCCTCAAGTGGCTGTCTAGTTCTGGTGCTGACAGTGTCACTTTAAGTGATTGTTAATCCCAAGTGTGTTTTAATATGTAGCAGTGCTGGACTTTGACTGGATCCTCCTAGCACCCGGTGAAGTGGCTCTATCGGGGAATCAGAAGAGCTCTTAGTAAACTGTGTGTCACACCATAACATTACACTGCTCTGGCTCAAGTCACTTTTAAGTTTCCATATCCCTGTAGATATAATCATTATTAAACGCTCACACAGGCTGCACAGGTCAGAACTGATTTTTGACATAACGTGAGTCTCTTGCTTGCCAACCCCTTCCCCTCCCAAGATGGCGGCAGAGAGGCAGGTTTATGGGGCGAACGTCACCTGCCCTCCTATGGCGCGTCAAACGCTCCCAGTAACCCCGCCCCCTCTTATCCTCGGCGTCACGTGACCCAATCAGTCTGTGAGGGAGGGTGTTCCCCAGTCCCTCCCTCCCACCCCCGGGCCACGCCCCCTCCCCCCCCTCGGCGGTTGGCTCCGGATCTCCCCGAGCTGCCTGTCTCAGTAAGTTCAGAGCTGGCCGCGCGCAGACACCGCGAGGAACCCGGACCGAACCTGAGCGCTCCCCGGCCCGCGGGCTACCAGCTGGCCCCGCCGGCAGCACAAGCAGCGGCCGCCGCCGCCTCCTCTCCCGTGTTACCCCCGGCGGCTCGGGCGGGAGAGCGGGAGGCAGGCGGAGGGGGGGAGACCATGTTGCGCCTGGTCTCCCTGAAGTTCGGCCGGCTGTACCGGTACGGGAAGCTGCTGTTCGCGGCCAGCCTGCTGGTGGTCATGCTGCTCAACACGCACTCCCTGCTCGCCTCCTTCCAGCGCAACGAGCTGGCCGACCGCCGCTTCCTCAGCCTCAATAAGTGCCCGGCGTGCTTCGGGACCAGCTGGTGCCGCAAGTTCATGAACGGCCAGCTGAGCTTCGAGGGCTGGGCCAGGCTGCGGCTCCTCGACTTCTTCAACGTCAAGAACGTGCACTTCGCGCAGTACGGGGAGCCCCGGGAGGGCAGCCGCAGGGTGGTGCTCAAACGGCTGGGCTCCAACCAGGAGCTGGCCGAGCTGGACCAGCGCATCTGCAAGAGGGCCACCGGCCGCCCCCGCTGCGACCTGCTCCAGGCCATGTACAAGACACACTTCGCCCGCCTCAACGGCGACGTCCGGCTGCTCACCCCGGAGGTGGTGGAGGGCTTGTCGGACCTGGTGCACTGCCCCTCGCAGCGGCTGCTGGACAGGCTGGTCCGCAGGTACGCGGAGACCAAGGACTCGGGCAGCTTCCTGCTCAAAAACCTCAAGGACACCGAGCGCATGCAGCTGCTGCTCACACTGGCTTTCAACCCGGAGCCGCTGGTCCTGCAGGTGAGGAGGGAAACCCTGGGACTGGGGCAGCACTCCCACCACTCTCAGCCAGGATAGTATAGTCACCTGGGGGGGTGAGGAGGGAATCTCTGTGGCAGCACTCTCAGCCAGGATAGTATAGTCACCTGGGGGGAGGAGGACTAGTCCTGCAGGTGAGGAGGGAAACCCTAGGACTGGGGCAGCACTCCCACCACTCTCAGCCAGGATAGTATAGTCACCTGGGGGGAGGAGGAGGAGGGCTGGTCATGCAGGTGAGGAGGGAATCCCTGGGGCAGCACTCCCACCACTCTCAGCCAGGATAGCATAGTTTCTCATCTGGGGGGAGGAGGAGGAGGGCTGGTCCTGCATGTGAGGGAAACGCTGGCACTGGGGCAGCACTCCCACCACTCTAAGCTAGTAGACGAGAGTAGTGATATTCAATAGGGGGAGCTAGTAATGCTATAAGTGACAATTGGGGCAGTACTCCCACCACTGACAGCCAGGAGTGTATAGTTCCTCATCGGGGGAGGGGAATGATCCTACAGGTGAGGAGGGATATACTGTCACTGGGACTTATCTATCGACACACTCGGCCAGCAGGAAGGAAAGTGTTTTTCCTTAGGAGAAGGGGGTGCTGGTGCTGCAGTTGAGGAACATTATTCTCCCGACTGAGTGAGGCATGAAGTGTCACTCTCAACACTCTAAGCCAACTTAAAGTGTGGGTAATAGCCAGCAGACGAATGTGTATAAGCAGCTAAGTAGGATTTAGACATGATTGCCATTCTCAGCTGCAAAATGTCAGGTTAGCACGGGGAGTGTTAGTCATAGAAGCGGCATGGGGTCATTTACCTGGCAGGGATGTCGCTCAGGCACATGTCTATGTGGATGACTTGCAATCAGCCTTTAATTTGTAAATACAGTGAAAGATTCGTGTGCAGTTGTATGTGGAGCTCTGATCATTTCAGTGTACAGAAGCAAAGTGTGTGTGGTACACAGCAGCACCAGAAGGTATTACTGTACTAAAATAAGAGCATGTATAGTAGAATAGCTGATTTGTAACTTCTAAATTACAAGACTTTAAATCGAAGAAATAACATACCCTGAATACAAAGGGAAAGTCCATTTTCAGGTTTGCTTGTTTAACGTTGTATTGCAACATGCACCTTGGACTCCCTGTATCTACTCAGTACCGTTTACAGTATTGTTTAAGCCTGATATTAATGCCTCCCCCTTATTTATGTGTAAATAGTCAATAAGTGTTTTTGGATGTCCATTTGTAATTTGTCTTGAGTTCAGTTTGAGAGATTTTTGCTGAGTTGTGACATTGTATTGCACGTATGCAATAATGTTATGGCAGTCCTTGCTAACCATTGTCACTAAACCCCAAAGCTTCCCATGTGACTGGCTGTCTCATAATGGGGAAATACTGTTTACCACTTGCAAGAAGGTAGAAGAATATATTGTGAGAATGTATTCCGCATTTCCGTCAAAACTTTGTGGATACTTACTGGTGAACTTGGGAGAACAAATGCTAAATTTGCCCTTTAGCTGCTTCAAAAACAATTTCAAAGTATCAGTGTTTTTTTATTCACAGTAGTCTGTTAAAAATAAAGGTCAGGGTGTTTGTAATCCCCTCTTAATGGGTAGATCTAAGAAGTACATTACCTATCTTAATCGTTTGGAGGTTTGCTTTCAGATGAAGTGTCAAAGCTTTTATTTAAAATGTTATTTTAGCCCAAAAATACCTTTTTGCACTTTACTTGCCCTGTACAGATTACTCCTTCCGAATATGCTATTTACATTTTTTCCCCTGTTCTGGATTGTTCTTCTCTGTGTCATGATGACCCTTAGCATCTAATAGTTTGCACTCTTTTGGGTTAGTGACCCTTTAAAATAAGATGTTTTCTCTGTGCGAGTCGCTGTCCCAATGGGGATGATATTTTTTACACATTTGAATAGTGTGTAAAACTCTACTGACATCCTAGAATAGATTAAACTAGAGCAGAGATGCATGTTGACTATAACATTAATAGGAACACCATCTGGGTTTAATTTCATTATTCACACTAGTTGTGTTACGCACATATCACAGGATTCAAAATATGTATACAATCCAGTTTCAAAAAGCTGCTTAACATTCCACATGACAACAGTTTTTTTCCTACTGGTTCTGTAAATCATCTCTCCTTTTGGTATCCTCAAAGACTGCATAAGTGGTTTTGATCCTTCCACATTTTGTGAAGTAGTCATAGATCTATTATTTCAGAGTAAATTGACCCGGCTCAAATTTCTTTTTTGTATCTTCATATTAATTCCAGTTTAATGGCTTTTCACATGTACAACAAATATCTATATATATTTCCTCCAAAATATGTGCAGGCATGTATGAATACTAAATACTGTGTGTTGTTTTCCCATGACTGAAATGCTTGTTTAATACATGCTTCTAAAGTCTTGAAGATGCAGAAATGTGATTTATCTTTTTCACTCCCTCACTGTTCAGCACTTTACTGCAGAAATAAAATTAATTGCAGAATTTAAACATGCTGCATTGACAAGCGATCAATAAATAATTTAACACTTGTTTAATTACTACAAAAACCTGCTTTTTCATGTCTACATAGGCAAATGTTGGGTATCGGTTTTACAGTTGGGTTTACTTTAAACCTCTAATCTTTCTTATGTGAAATGGTCAAAACGATATACTGTGGACATTTGACACTTTATTGTGAAATACACATTGAATTGAGAAACATTAGCAATACAAAGAACTTCCTTGCTAGTAAGGAATCTAGCATGTTTACTTTAATTACTATCCAATCTGGTGCATTTGTGAAAATCCGGCATTTCTTGGTATATAAGCTATTGGGTAGATTTCTGTTTGAAATCTTTTTTTTTAAATTTTTTTTTTTTTTTATAACTGCCTTTTGTTATTCTTTATACAAAGCAGTCTTTATTACCTATTGTCTTTAGTGATCAGTAATAGCTCTAATTTCAATCTGTTGTAGCTAATCATCATGTAAATTTGAATCCATACCTGATGAAAGAGCAGCCCCCTCTCAGCACCTTTACACGATTTAGCATATTTTATTATTATAATTGCCATTTATATAGCGCCAACAGATTCCGTAGCACTTTACAATCTTATACTGCGCCAACTTATTACACAGAATTTTTTACAATATTATTTATAGTAATGATTTAACTCCTGTTGTTCAATCATAAAGATTTATAGGGGTACCAAAGACAGCACTCCAGTTCGCAAATTTGGGTTAAGTTTAACCCCTTAAAGACCAAACTTCTGGAATAAAAGGGAATCATGACATGTCACACACGTCATGTGTCCTTAAGCTAACTACATTTTGTTTATATTTAAATTGTCTATCGCCTGCACTTAAACAGTCAAATTAAGAGCAAAGTGTCCCACAGTAACTATACCCCTCCACACACACACTCATGTATATTTGTTTTTATTACCTCTTCTGATGAGACCTTTTGAACTTTACTGTGTATGTCTGTTTGTATATGTGTGTTTAATAAACTATTGAACTATTTGATTTATAATTTCTTGAAAAGGTGACATTTCCTTGTTAATTGTTAGTGTTGAGCTGCCTCCTCCTCTCTGTATATGGGGGGAGGGGGGGAATAACGTTCTTACCCCTGTATTTTCTGACTTGTCACAGGCAAGAGAAGCTATAGAAAATAGAGAATCTGATATATGGTTGGTTATTTGTTTGCATTGGAACATTTGTTATGACTATGTCCGTTAAACTGTAAACATTTTGCTATAGTAGTAGCCATCCCACATCAGACTCAAAAAGTGGTACATTTTATCGATCATGTGTAACATTTTACATTATTTTAAAACGTTTATTTGTAGTGTAAAACAGTGTGCAGTCTTAAACTTATGTTTGCAGTACAAAATAAATCTGTTGTATTTTGTTAATCTAAAAACATAAAGCACTTTAAATAGTCATGTCACTTTGCACAGTGTAGAAGATTCCTTAAATCAGAATTTCTGCAAAGTCCCAGTCTAATAATTATCATCCACTTTTTGTAAAGAAAGCTGCTTTAGAGGTTTTGGAAATAGCTGGTTACTAGATTTAGTGTTTGAGTTTTTTATTGTTCTATATGTCTGCTCTGGTATATATACACTCCTAGCAAATGGTGCGTTGGTTTACTGAGGGATCCATTGGATGATAAAAGGCATGTTTGTAAACCACAACTTTATTCTGTGGCAACTAAATCTCTCTCCAGCTGCTAAGAACTAATCTGAAAACTTGACATGGAGCCTCTCACAGTATTGTTGTCTAGTAGTAGATGTTAAGATGCTATACGTGTTGGCTCATTGACGCTTTTATTAAACCCAACTTTCTATTGCTCTTAATTAGGATATTGGTATAAGTCTGTTCTGCCGTTAGTTTCATAACCATTTATTAATATTTTCCACAGAGGTACTGATTCTAATGTATGTAATCATTCAAAAAATATTTTCTGGGATGGTTTTTAAAATGGAAATGTTTCATTTCTGAAACAAACTTCCACATTCCATCAACCCCAGAAAATAAATGTCAACGTATTTATTGGGATGTGCAGCACAAGTAAAATAAACACCTTCACATAACATTTATGTTCAGGAATATGTCATTCCCCCGTAATGCTTGAGGTGGGTTAATGTATGCTTGGTTGCCAGCAGGAAAATGCAGTATAAGCACATGCATGATTGTGGATTCCTACCATACATGTGTATGTGCAAAGGCACTGAGAAGGTTTAATTTTATATGGCATGATCCCAGTGCGCCACGATAGCCAGGTATATGATATAAATGAAAGTGATAAATTATTTAAAATACCACCACTAATATATGGCTTTCTGGTATCTATCCAGCTATGGGGCGGGAATCCTATATGGCCTTACTCATTGAAATGTTTAAGATGTGAGTTGCATGTGTTGGGCTCAAAGGTACTTTTTCGATTTTGTTAAAGCTACACTCCAGACCTCCTTAGTTAATTTAACAGGTTAAAAATCTCAATAGAATTTGACACTTTTTTTTATAAATCTTGTTACACCCGCTTAGTGTCAGAAAACTGGTGCTATTACTTCCTGGTTTGGTTAGCTAAGTGGAGCTAAACTCAATAAGCTGGCAATTGCTCAGAGCACCTGCCTTGCAAAGACTTCTCATTGAGCTCACAGAAAGAGTGCAGCCACAACAGAGATGTAATCTAGATTTGCTCTGCCTTCTGGAGCACACAAGGTAGCTGTGCAGCCAGTTGCCCAAAGCACACGTCCCTTGCAAAGACTTATCATTGAGGTGCAATAGGAAGTCTGTGATTGGGCAGCCACAGAAAGTGGTAGAAGGGTTTAGACGAGATCTGCAGTTTTTGCAAACTGTCTTTAGATCTGCCAGCAATGGAAAAAAAATACATAAATGCAAGCATGTTTTTATTGGGGGCATATCTACTGGGCAGTGAAAATGTGTATTTTGTGCAAGTTTGGTGTCTGACTCCAAACTGCCAATGTGCTATTGCCCTGTTTTGTCAGTGTTTTTTGAGACTTTTGACTTAAAATGTGGTTCTCCCCCAGCCCTCTAAGCCTGGCCTCTTGCTTTGCCACTTGCAATTTAAAATTTCTTTTCTGCTTTCTCTGTTCAAAACCATCCAACAGCAGTGAAGGGCTGCAATCACTGCAAAGGGGTGGAGCAATACGTAATAAAGTGTTTCTCTCAAGAAAAATGAATTGGACAACTTCTTTTCCTTTTTGTCTATATATTAAATATTTATTTGCTCTGAGTCTGTATTGTCCATATTTTAGAATGGGATCTGTTAAAGGAGTGCTATTGAGTCAGGAACACAAACACGTATTCCTGACCCTATAGAGTTAAAACCACCATCTAGCCACCCTGTCCCCCTCATGCCTCCCTAAAAATAGTAAAATCTTACTTGTATTCAAGCCTGAAGCTGTTTGCCTCAGAAAAACAAGCTGTCTGCTGACATCAGAAGTGGTGACCTGATCCAATCCCAATGCTTCCCCATAGGATTGGCTGAGACTGACAAGGGGGCAGATCCAGCACAATTCAAACACAGCCCTGGCCAATCAGCATCTCCTCATGCATTTAATCTATGAATCTCTGTGAGGAAAGTTCAGTGTCTGCATGCAGAGGGAGGAGATACTGAATGTTTGGATGCATTTTAGGCAGCCATGACCCAGGAGGGATCTCTAACAGCTATCTGAGGAGTGGCCAGAGACGTTATCACTAGGCTGTAAAGTAAATAATGCATTTTCTCTGTTTACAGCAAAAAGCCTGAAGGTAATGATTCTACTCACCAGAACAAATTAAATAAGCTGTAGTTGTTCTGGTGACTATAGTGTCCCTTTAATTTATTAACATTTTCATCCTACCTTGTGAAAGCTTACATTCAATTGAACAGGTATTTGTTTTCTGTGTGCTTGATGTTTTAAGTCTGCACCCACTCCTTGGTGTGATTCTGATTTTAGCTTTCTGCCTGCAATTCAAACTGAATTTTCTTGAAAGTTATGAAATTTATTATGAAGTAGTATTTCATGTTTAGCTATTCTTTGTGTTAAACGCAGCCTAGGTGTCTAGCTTTCATTTATACTTGCGCTGCAAAGTATTTATTTATATGGTGCCAACATATTTTGCAGCACTTAAGGGATAGAATACCTCACAAAAATGAGAAAAGAGAGGTGGAGAGAGCCATGTTCAATTGAGTTTACAATCTAGAGGGATTGGCGGCATAATGTAAAGAACGAGTGTGCCCATTAAAAGATGAGCCAAGAAAACTTGCTATCTGAGCAGTGGTGGCCACACTGGTGGTAAAGGGACACTCCACTGTTAAAATAAACAAAACACTAGTTAGTTGATAAACGCACATTGAAAACAAGCTTACATTTATTCATTTTTTTTTTTTCATCAGAGGTACCACAAATCTGAAAACAGCTTGCAAAAGCTGCAGATCTCTTGTCTGAAGCTTTTGCAAGCCCTCCATTTAAAACTCCACCCAGATTTTCTGTGGCTGTCCAATCAGACAACATTGATTGGCTGAGTAGAGTTATACATCGTGGGACAGCTCCAGGGGAACTGAACCAGACCAGTTAAATTTTGTTCAGCACAAACTTACCATTTACATTTTATTAATGCAACTATGTTTTTATTCATTTTGCGTATTACATGTACACTGGAAAAATCCGGTTATTGCAGGAAAACAAAGGATAATGCTTGTTTAGGCTATATTAAATACATTGTGTGTAAATAGAAGGAATTTAGTCAAATTGAAAAGTGTGACAATTATTTGTTAAAGTGACTGTCACCATATAGGGTCTTTGCATAATTTAGCAAAAGACCCCCGCTGATATCTCCACTGGGAGTTTGGTGGCTATGGGTGCCACGATCCTTTCATCTGCTATTCTTAAGCACCTGGTGCTTCAGCTGCCAAAAGCAGACGTCAGCCATATACACTTGGACATGCACTATAGTACAGCATTGATGTCTATGGACTACCCTGCGAGATTTGATTATATCAAAAATAATTATTTCAGAATGAAGGTCACAGAGCCCACTTTAAGGTATTAAAAACAAATATATACTTTGTAAAACTTTTTCCCCATACTTCTCAGTTTAGAGAATAAACACTTGAAATAAGATTCATTTGATCGCTCATTTTAAGTTGTGTGTTACTGCATTTACGTGGTAGGTGGACCGTTAAGTGGATATTGATAGCATTTTCCAATTTTTTATTTTAATTTTTTTTAAACCTGTACTGCATCTAGTCTGTAGAGTATTATTGTGTTTAATGGACGTTGATCATTTTCATTTATGTGCAGACTAGATGGGCTGAATGGTTCTTATCTGCCTCACATTTTATGTTTTTATGTTTCATAGTTTGAAATTTGAATGCTACTTTTTGCTCTCTTATTTTCTCTTTTTATTTTACTGGGGTTGTCTGATTTCCACACATTGTCTTGGCTCAAGTGTTGACTGACATGATTATGAAGCATCCAATGGGAGGTTTATTTTTCATACTGATAAAATAGTTGTTCATAATTGGCATTCAATTTTGTTTAAATATTTTTATTTTTTTTAGAATTGATCTTGTTTGGGCGTTTGGTAGATCTACATTGTCTGTTTGAGACCTCAGATTTGAGTTTTGGTTTTTGTTTCAGCTCCTGCTGTACTAAGATCCTTGGTTATTCTGTAAAATGGACATATTTTCTGACACTTTGCTACTGAAAGATTTTAATTTTTTTCTTCAACACTCAAATATCTGTTTTCAAATTATGAATCTACACTATTCTCTGAGCCGACTTTAACTTTCTCAGTAACTGGTCTAACGTGTTTCTATGAGAGGCTAGGGCGAGAATGTGTGCTTGTAGCTTACTTTCCCTTTAGGAATTGTTAATGCTGTCTTTATATATGGGAAGGAGTTTCTGGGATTGGACATCTGATCAGCTGTCTTAGAAGTTAGGTGGAGCTAGCCTCCTCTGTTGTGTGTTGTTTTTTTTTTTTTTAAATGCACAATTGTGAGCAATCGTCTATTACATTTTTTTGAGCACAGACTTTAATATGCATTGAACTTGTTCCTTATGTCTCTAGTTTTATCAGTTCTTAAGCATGGTTTCAACGAGTGGGTTTTGTTATAAAAATCCCATTGTATAATCAAAAGAAAAAAGATATATTTGTACATGACTTATCTGCATATGTGTTTGCGCTCATACAGCTATTTGATGCCTTAGCTGTTGGTGCTTAAATAATAGATGCTCAGAGTCCTTGTAATCTCATGCAGAGTTGGATTACTTTGCTTTCCTAGGGGATTTTGATCTTATTTTGAAGGCTGTTTGCGATGTGGATTACTCTAAAGTAGCCGTTCTAACAAAATAGTCCCAATCACTGATTGTCAGTTGATTTGATCTCTCTAGAGACTGACAGGTCCTTAGCAGTTTGTAATGGAGTCACAGGTGAATGGATTAACTGTGCTCTGATGGAATCTGCAAACCTACATGTGGGTATTATGCTTACTTAGCCTTCGCTTGAGTAAGATTTGAACTTGTTTTGCTTTATTAAACATCTAGGAGCCAACCTGCAGAATTTTGAGTTTACCTCCACAGGTTTGTGGCTGGTACAGTCTGTGCAGTTCATGATCATTGCGATGAACTGGCTCCCTGCTAGGAGGATGGGTTTAACCCAGTCCTTTTTAATTGTGCAATATACAACTTCTACCTAATCACCCGTGGATATACAGAAATTAACTTAACTGTTTTGGATACTTGCTTCCCTCAAGTTACCTCCCAAAAATGTGAACTATATACAAGATATTATGAAATGCAAATAGGACAGGGATCCAGCTTGTATTACTAGAACATAAACATAAAATACAACATAGCGTAATATTGTTATAGCCTTATTAATCAATGCTTCAAGGTTACATTCACAGATTGGTTGTAAAAAGTAAGCCTTCAGGGTGCCTCCCCTATGATGTCCTGCTGTTGGTAGTAGCTCCAATCTGGAAACCAGGAAGTTCACACACTCCAAACGGTTGGATGTAGATTTGTTTTAATTTATTGGCAAAAAAGCGGTCCTACGCGTTTCATTCCCTTTAGGAAGCTTCCTCAGGGACCAATATTAAAATACATGCAATAAAAAATACACTGAAAATACCATCAAGTGTACCAATAAGCCTAATTCCTCCTTCCCTTCCCTCCCCTTAAATATGGTGGATACTGGAAGTCCATTGTTGGTGTGGTGGGCGTGCTCTCATGTTTCTCTGTGATTGGACTTCTTGTCCTTCGGTAAGTTACCTCTGTGTGTTGTCTCAGCTGATTCTATTTGCCGATCTGTTTTCCGTGGCAACAAGTGGATGCCTCTTTAATTGTGCGTAGTTTATGTATTCAGTTTTATTTTCCTTTTTTCCTTTTTCACCAAACATTACATTTTAACTTTAATGCTGAATTGCCATTTATTTTTTTTATTTTTTTATACAAGTTGTAATTGTTGACAGAGTAGAGATTTGGTTAATATAATGTGAAGCTTATCTATATTTCTCAGCCACGCTGTTTGCTGGTTAGAATTTTAATTAACAAACTCTATGGTGTCGTCGTACGCTTACCGCGCTATGTTCCTCTGACCCTGGTAGTGAGGCGGACTGATAATAGCTTTTGGGCTGGTAGTTTGAGACTCCTGTTCTAACCCTTTAATAGAATTTGCTGATCAGAAGCTGTGCTTAGAATTGGCAAAAGATCAGAATGTGTCCCTGTTTAGATTTAGGAGCAATGGCTACCATGTGAAATCTTTCTTGAATGTTTTTTTTTTTTTGGCGATATAATTTTCATAGAAATATAATAGTACAAGGTATATTTAGGTCGGAACTGCGGTAAGTGTTTCTTTTATTAGTGCAGGTTTAAACTGGCTCCAGTTTGAGCATAAAACTTATTGTGCTTCAATGTTTCAGTATATAACGCTTTTCTTTCTGTTTCATAGAATTTTGTTCAGTATAAAAATGTTTTGTTTGTGTTTTTTTTTTATTCTCTCCTTCCTTAAAAAATTGATTTTGGTCTTGTGTACTTTATTTTCTGAATATCTCAATCTACATAATTCCCCTTGGTTTATTGCCTATAATTGTTAGCACTTGACAATTCTGCAGCATCAGGAAATGATTGATTCTGCATTATGTGATGTTCACATCTCTGACATCTGCTGTATGAGATCTCCCCATTTGAAGAAGAGATTATTCTCTGTATATTTGAGTGACATAATTAAGTGTCCTTCCTTTACTTTACTAGTTACTTTTTTGTGCCATACAGCTGTCTGTACTCTTCATCTGTAACACCTTTTTTTAATTTAAAAATCTGGTGTTTTAGAAATAATTACTTGGCATGTAATTCGCAATGTATGATGACTTGGAGTGAACATGACCCCCCCCTTTTTTTTTTTTTTTTAAATGTACATATTGTACGAGCCATATTGTCATCTGATACATCTTCCATTTCTAATTTTATGCACTCTTGTCTGAATTGATGTGGCGGCATTCAAGAGGTCTTCCATGTCATTCTTTTGGGGCGAACTCCAATCCAGTATAAATAAAAAAGCCCCCTGTGTGGATATGTAGCCTGATAGCCAGCAAACAATAACTGCACATGAGCAGATCCGTTGAAATTATCCTTGCCGCTATGAGTATTTAACCCCTTAAGGACACATGACGTGTGACATGTCATGATTCTCTTTTATTCCAAAAGTTTGGTCCTTAAGGGGTTGCAGGCGTTTTCTCACTTTTCAGTTATTCTTATATTATGTTTATTCCTGTTCTTATCAGTTTTTTTTTTTTAGGTGTAGAAAATAAAATTAAAACAATCTGTACTGCCTTATCCTGCCAACTTGGGTGCCTCTATCTTGGCTCTCTATCAATCATTGTAATAAGCTGTTCTTTGCATCTGGCAGTCTGCATAGAGAAAGCATACACAGAAGAGTAACAATTCAACAATGTTTCTATTTCTTCTGATATATGCAGAAATTGCCCAGGCTTTGCTCTGGTAAACAAAGCATGCTGGCAATTGTGACAAAATAAATTACTAAAATTAAAACAAAAGGTGACTGGGTATCTACTCAAAAATGTGCTTACAGAGCAACTTTAGCAGCATGGCGCTTTCCCATGCATTCCATTTAAAAGGATATCACACTGGCCCAAATACAAAATAAAAATCACTGTTTAATAGATTTACCCAAAATGAAAACTTGTATGCATTTAATTGTATGTGACTGTGTCTGTCCATGTTTGCCAACATAACACTTCCATCCCGGGTGATCTTGGTATACCTCTATTCCTCTGTCCCCCGTAACATCTCCCCAGTCCCTAATTATCGAACACCTGTCTAACATTCTCTCCCAGCTCCTAATTATCTCTTCCTTGACCCCCATTATATAACCCGGCCCTTATTATCCCAGTCCAGATATTTTCCATAGCCCATATATCTCTGCACCTCCTGTAGGAAGGCAAAGCTGTCAGCACTGATCCTTCCTGTATAGTTTAATAGCCGGCGTGACTGGCATCTGTATAGTGAAATAGAGGCAGTGACAGCCTGGTCAAGACAGCGTTAAAGGGACACACCACTGCCCAAATACAAAATAAATATCACTGTTTAGTAGATATACCCCAAATGAAACCATGCATGTATTTAATTATGTATTTTTCCATTTGGGGTTATATCTAAAAAAAAAAAAAAAAAAAAGCTTGCAAACCCTGCAGTTCTTTTATATCCTGCATTTGTAAACATTCTCTTTCTAACCCCACACAAGCTTTGTGGCTGTGCTGTTCAATGAGAAGTCTTTGCAAGGCAGGTGCTCTGGGCAATTGCTACCTCTTGAGTTTAGCTCCACTGAGCTAAACAAACCAGGAAGTAGCTGTAACGGCACCCCAGGGCATAAAAGGGTTAAACCGCCGTTTAGTAGATCTTGTAATGACATCTATGCTTAGCCCCTTTTTGACAGTGTCATGAAGGGCAGGAGTATAGTCATTATCACATAAAGCCAGGGTGAAGAGCGTTTTCACAACTATGGTGTCAGGAATATACATATTTGTATTCCTGACACTATAGTGTTATTTTAAGCAAATTAAAGGAACATTCTGGTCCCCATAATAACTTCATCTAACTGAAAATGCTATGATGCCGGGAAGCCCCTGGGTGCTCTCTTTTAAGGGGTTAAACTGCTCTCATGGTTTATCCCCAAAGGCTTCCTCCAGCTCCAGGTCGCTCAGTGGTATTCGGCATCTGAAACGGAGTGTCAGGAAGTGCAGATTGACATCAGGCATGGGTGCCGATTGGCTAGAGTTGACGCTCTAAGCCAATCGCTAGTTCCCGGTTCATAAGTTTTTTACGTTTTTATGAATGGGGAGCTACTGATTGGCTTAGTGCCAGCTGACCGCTCTCGCCAATCAGCAATACCCCTACCCAGCGGCACTCTGTGCTTCCTGACACTCAGTAAATAAAAGTGAACACATTAACTCTGATTTTTATTTTATTTTTTTTATTACCTGGAGAGATGAGAAGGTCCAGAGTTTCCCTGCCAGGCCCAGGTACCAAAGTCTTATGATGTGGTCCTTCCTGCTCGTCATTTGTCCTTCCTGCTCCAATCTCCTTTTCTTCTCCTTCATTTGACAGTCTTCTTTTTCTTCTGACACTGTCTTCTATATTTGGCTCCTTTCTTCTTATTTTGCGCCCTTCTGCTCCTTTCTCATTCTGATTCTTTTCTGCTCATTGCAGACTCTTTTTGCTCCTTCTTATTCTTTCTGCTCCTTTACCTTTGTGCTCCTTCTTATTCTTTCTGCTCCTTTACCTTTGTGCTCCTTCTTATTCTTTCTGCTCCTTTACCTTTGTGCTCCTTCTTATTCTTTCTGCTCCTTTACCTTTGTGCTCCTTCTGCTCCTTTACCTTTGTGCTCCTTCTGTCCCTTTCTGCCCATTGCAGACCTGTCCCTTTCTGCCCATTGCAGACCTGTCCCTTTCTGCCCATTGCAGACCTGTCCCTTTCTGCCCATTGCAGGCCTGTCCCTTTCTGCCCATTGCAGGCCTGTCCCTTTCTGCCCATTGCAGGCCTGTCCCTTTCTGCCCATTGCAGGCCTGTCCCTTTCTGCCCATTGCAGACCCGGCCTGCAGTTCATTTTAAATCTCACACAAAAAATAGCACAAGCTGCAAAATCCAGGGGGGGCAAGCGCCCCCCCCGCGGACGCCCATGTCTATAGTGCCAGGAAAACTAGTTTGTTTTCCTGGCGCTATAGTGCTCCTTCAACTTGCAAGACCATATTTTTTATTTTTAAGTGTTTGAGGACTGCATGTGCTTTTTTGTACTAGTTTCTAACGAACTTTCATTACTATCTTACAGATCCTGCATGTTAAGTGCGGTAGAGAGAGCAGAATTGCAACTACCTTATTTTACAATGTAGCTGGCAATACAAAATGTATACCCTTTTTGCATCATTCTTTTCTTGATTTTGTTCTTACACCTTTCGTGGCAGTGTGTCCGTTACCTAAATCTAAGAACAATTTTCTAAATATTCTTACAGCAGACTGGATGTTTCAGTCTGTGTAGGAGTAATGCGGTTATGCCATGTTCAATGATTTTTAGAGATTTTTTGTTTTTGTTTTTTTATATTTTTTCCCATTTCCCTCTATAAAAAGCTGATTCTCCCACATCTTTACAAGTAGTGATCTAGTAGGCTTTCAATCTGCAAAGTATATACTTGGCTGGTTCCAAGCTTGGTTTGACTAGATATATTTGCAATACCTTTTGAAGAGAATTTTATCTTCTTTTCAGTATCCTGGCAATGAAGTGATGCAGATAGCATTTACATTACATTCTCTTCTGAGGGCTTTTGTTTCTCATAAGCTCTAACTAAACACAGCTGTCAAAGGTATTTTTCTTCTGTGTTAAGTAAATTAGCATTCTGTTTCCCTCATGGCATGAAATTACAAACGGTACTGCATCATGCTTCCAAGCTACTCTACAGCCAAATTTAACCCAAATAGTCCAAAGATCGGTTAATGGTGAGAGCTGTGTGCCCTTTTTAGGTTATGAATGCTGTCTCATTGGAGGACAGATGTTACCATTGTCTTTTGTGTGTTTCCTTGGCTTTGTGGTTCTCATTCTGTGTGCAAGGTGGAGAGTTTGCACAGCTTGATTTTCATTGTTTTGGTTACAGTAATTGACTATATTTTTACTGCAAAGGCACATGGCATGCTTATTAACCTCTGCCATATGTGGTGGTATAAAGCTTTGGGTACCACGGTTTAAATGACAATTTTTGTAGTGCAAACATATTCTGCAGCACTGTACAATAGGTAAACTAGACAAACACAACGTGGACCTGTCCTCAAAAATCTTGCAATTTGCTTTTAAATGCAATTATTTATTTCTGCTTATTCCTGCTGCATTTTGCTAGAATTGTTTAATAGCACTCCTTAAAATTGTGTAAGAGGGGTCTCTTACCTTTTTATTTTTTCCAAGTTAGAACTGGCAACTGTTTTAACATCTGGTTATGATAAAGATCTCCTCCTGGTATTGCTTGAGCATAATGCTTTAGTTGCATGCGTGTGTATGCTTGGCATAAATGAAGGTTTTCTCAAATGGTAACATTTGTAATACATTACTATTGGATCTTTTTAGGTTCTAGGGCACCAATTTATTAAAAAAAGTATAAAAAGTGACAAATGGTTTTAACTCTGTTCTGGACTTGGTAACATCATCTATTCTTGTGACTGTCAAGGTGACATTAATAGAGGTGTGTTTAGCCCCGCAATGCAAACATTAGTATATCCTTCATACTCCAGGTGGTTCGGCCACCAAACAACGATTTTACACCTATAGTGTCAGAAATGCAAATTTGTATTCCTCACACTAGAGATTGCCTTTAGTTTTTAATCACTATATGAGCAAATTTAGAACTTGAAGTTGGACTCTATATAGGCACGGACATATTCATTTCAATGAAGTGGTCTGGGTGCCATGTCTGTCTTTTTAAACATGCAACTGAAACATTTTGCATCTTCCTGACCGCCACTAGAGCGGCTTCTGCCCCAATTAGTAGACTTAAATATGGCTATTCAATCTGATGGTTTTATAGAGAGCGTTGGATTGATATAGCATGGTATTTGGCTATGAAAGTGCACTTGCCTCCCAATTTGGGCAGTGGAGTATACCTTTTCATTATAGAATTTTAAGTAATCTGTAATTGTTGATGGCCTTTGAAAATACAAGTATTTAAATAAAATTTAGGTGATTTTCTCCTGAATAAAGTCACTTACCTTATATTCTATTTTTCAGTAATCCAGAGTGTATATCTTTTAAGGAAACATCACATATAGAAAAGTGTAAAACCTTTATAACTCATATTTTATAGAAATGTACAAAATAAAAATTACACTATTAAAGGCTCCAGGGGTTCTCTTTAGTCGACAACTCCACTCTGATAGGTATCCCATTGTACATCGCTACAGAATTTGTTGGTGCTACATGTAATAATATATATAATAGAGCATATAAAATGGCTCAGTAGATAAGCTGTGTATGGTTGGAGATTATACTGCCTCTCCCTGATATTCAGGAATAAGATGACCACATTTCTAAAAGTAGATATCATTTAGACCAGGGCTCGACAAATCCCATGTCGCCAAGGTGCCTGGGATATGCGAGCCCCTTAACACCAAAGCGGGCGTTCGGTCAAGCTGGGGAACTTTGTAGGAAGGCGGCATGCTGGGGTTCATGGAGGCAGGGGGATGGCTGCGCAAATAGGAGGGCGGCAAAGGAGCTGTGAGGTCTCTGCTCTTCTCCCGCGCACGCGCCACTTAGTGAGACCGGGGCTGGAAAATGACATATTCCGCCCCCGGTCTCGGTAAGAAGCGCGAGAGCAGAGACCTCACAGCTCCCTCGCTGCCAACAATACGCGCAGCCAATTGCCAGTCTTCCAACAAAATCCTCCAGCATGTCGTCCACGTCCACCATCCCCCAGCATGCCGCCTTTCTACAAAATACCAGCTTGCCGCCGACTGGACCCCAGTTACTAAATCAAGCAATGGTGTGTGTGTGTGTCTGTCTCTGTCATGGTGTGTGTGTGTGTCTCAAAAAAAAAAAAATAATGCATAAAAAATAAAATAAAACCCTGCACCTAAAACTACAGAGTAAGAGTGCAGCGCTACAGGTGTTTGTGTGTCTGTCATGATGTGTGTGTTTAGGTGACCAGACCCCTTCTGTTCACAATGGAATAGTATTCTTATTCTCCTTTTTTTTTTTTTTTTTTACCCCGTGCTGGTCTCCCCTCGACTGGCCCTGCATCTATGGCTGAGATTATCAAGCTTGATTATCTCAGCCAATCCAATGTTTTTCCCATACAATTTGCTGCAAAACGCCGCACCAATCAGCATCTCCTCATAGAGATGCATTGAATCAATGCATCTCTGTGGGGAACGTTCAGCGCTTCCATGCAGAGCGTTTAGACGCTGAATGTTGGTGCAGCAATAACACAGGAAGCACCTCTAGTGACCGTCTCTAGAGGAGTGAGTGACAGTCATTAGAGTTGTCACTAGGAAGCAATGTAAACACTGCCTTTTCTCTGAAATGGCAGTGTTTACATTGAAAAGTGTGCAGGGACAGGCTCTAGACACCAGAACCACTACATTAAGCTGTAGTGGTCCTGGTGACTAGAGTAGTGTGTCCGTTTAAGAATTGTATTTTAAAATATGGTTTCTAACTTTTTTTTTTTTTTTTTTTGTTTCAGCTGGCTCCTAGATTCAAAGCAAATTTGTCAAGCCCTAGACAATAAAACAAATTAAAATACAAAATATATAAAACGTGTGTTAAGGCTGAAATAGTCCTCTAGAGATGCATTTCACAAATGTTGTTTCTTCGGTCAGGTAAAATAAAGTACCGTATAAGAAGAGTTTTTCGGCACATTTTTTGCGCTGAAAAACCCCCACTCGTCTTACACTCGCAGGAGTGTCTGTATTATGGCAACTTACATTGCCATAATACAGACAAGGACTGCTGGGCTCATTACAAGCCCGGCGGTCCTGTTCGGGGCTGGCAGGAAGCGTTTACTTACCTTTCCTGCAGCTCCTGTTAGCTCCCTTCTCTCTCCTCCGGTCCGGTCAGCTCCCGTCAGCCCCACTGTAAGTCTTGCGAGAGCCGCGGGATCAGAGCCCGTGGCAACGCTTCGCGAGACTTACAATGGAGCTGACCGGACCGGAGGAGAGAGAAAGGAGCTGCAGGAAACGTAAGTAAACGCTTCCTGCCAGCTCCCTCCTACACAGCCCATGCCACTAGACCACCAGGGAGTGAGAGCCCTCCTCCCTGGCCATGTATCTAGCAGGGAGGGAGGAAGAAAAAAATCTAAATAAATTTTTAATAATAAAATATTAATTATTAAAAAAAAAAAATTAATTAAAAATTAATAATGCGCGCTCTGCGCTCATACATATGCGCGCTCTGCGCTCATACATATGCGCGCTCTGCGCTCATACATATGCGCGCTCTGCGCTCATACATATGCGCGCTCTGCCCTCATACATATGCGCGCTCTGCCCTCATACATATGCGCACTCTGCCCTCATACATATGCACTCTGCCCTCATACATATGCGCACTGCCCTCATACATATGCGCACTGCCCTCATACATATGCGCACTGCCCTCATACATATGCGCACTGCCCTCATACATATGCGCACTGCCCTCATACATATGCGCACTGCCCTCATACATATGCGCACTGCCCTCATACATATGCGCACTGCCCTCATACATATGCGCACTGCCCTCATACATATGCGCACTGCCCTCATACATATGCGCGCTCATGCACACACTGTAAAATATTCAATTAATATAATTTTGGGGGGATCTAATTTTATTTTGAAAGTTACCAGTAGGTGCTGCATTTTCCACCCTATTCTTATACTCGAGTCAATAAGTTTTCCCAGTTTTTTTGGGTAAAATTAGGGGTCTCGAGTATATACGGTAAGTTGCCCATCTTTCTTTGTAAATACCAATTTCATTAGAGGTTAAATGTTTTCGAATGTGGTCACAAGCGTTTCTCCCATTGTATTTCTGAGAGAACTAACATTTCTGCCTTGTTTTTAGGCATTCTTCAAATGTAGTTTTTTTTTTTCTTGGTTTTATAATAGATCTTTGCCCTTTACAAATGGAACATGTTGGCCTTCTGTTATATATGACTATGAAGTCATAATCTTGGAAGGTTTAACTGATTGCTGTCAAATGCCACTTTAACATAAGATCAATCCAGACACTGCTGTTGTGTCCTTGCTTATGGCATTAACTAGTTTTACATTCTTAATAAAACAAAAAGTCCTCCTATATTCGAGTTATTTACACAAAAGGGCGATTCACGTAAACAAGAGGACGCAAAGACTGCTGCTTCTTAGCGAAGCTTTGAGGTGCGAGACTGCTTGGAAGAAAACTGTCAACATGTCTGAGAACAAACACCTAATAATTTAAGTGAAGTGTCTGTACTGTGAATAGGGAGACTTTGAGAAGTGAGCAGCTCAGACAGGTTTATTGGGTCACATCTGCTTTGATGACAGAATAGTCTGCTAACTTTCACAGCACCATACATCATCTTCTGCCTGGCCTTATTTACATGAAGTGTGTAATTCTTCAGAATGCTCCACTTTAAGGGAATTCTAAATATATTTCTGTAACTCCTAATTAAACATAGGCATTTAATGTATCTGGTATGCAGGGTGTTTTGCTAATTGTATGCCTACTTAATACTGGTGGGAAATAGAGGAAACTGTGTAGAAAAAAAAGAATATGTTGCGGTTTAACCCCTTCCCGACCCAGGACGGTTCAGGACCGTCATCTGGATTTTCCCATTGCGGACCGATGACGGTCCTGAACCGTCCTAACGGTTTCCGTTACCTGATCGCCGTCGTTCCCCCGGCGGCGATCAGCGTGGCTCCGGTTGTGGGGAGACTGCCTGCAGCCCAGACAGTCTCCCCACACTGATTTAGGACCCCTGTGGCCATGTGATCGCTTAACACAGTGATCACATGGTCACAATGGGTGTCCATGTGTCTGCCTGCAGGGGGACTGTCTGTGCTGACAGGCAGTCTCCCTGCTAGTGTAAAATCAGAAAAAAAAATAAAGTTAATGTTAATAAAAAAATTAATAATAATTATATATGTGTATATATGATATATAGACATATATTATATCTATATAATATATGTCTATATATCATATATATAATGCCATACTAAGTGTATTTTTATATTAATATGTATTTATATTAATATAAAAATACTTATAATTAAATTACACACGTGTGTGTATATATATATATAACTATATATATTGTGTATATATATTATTATAAAATATAAATAAGTAATTTAAATTAAATAAAAAAAATTTAAAATAATAAAAAAAGTTAAAAAATTATATAGCTATATGAAATTTTATTCTAACTGTATTTTAAAATTAATATATATATTTATATCAAAATACACTTAGAATGAATTTGTATATATATATCTATGTATATAAAAATAAATAAAAATAATACTAAATATACATATGTCCATATACAAAATTACATAAATAATTATATAAATATACACGTAGACTTCAAATATATAAATATGCATATATATTTAAATTCTACGTGCGTATTTATGTAATATTTTTACATAATTCAGTAATTTTATTGATTGCAATTTGAGGGACCTGCCTGCCAACCCAGGCCGAAATTCCAGAGAATTTAATTTGTTAGCACTGTATTTTACCCTGTAACGTTCTACGACACCCTAAAACCTGTACATGGGGGGTACTGTTTTACTCGGGAGACTTCGCTGAACACAAATATTAGTGATTCAAAACAGTAAAACATATCACAGCGATGATATTGTCAGTGAAATTTACTTTTTTTGCATTTTTCACACACAAACAGCACTTTTACTGATGATATAATTGTTGTGATAAGTTTTCCAGTTTTTAAACACTAATATTTGTGTTCAGCGATGTCTCCCGAGTAAAACAGTACCCCCCCATGTACAGGTTTTATAGCATTTTTGAAAGTTACAAGGTCAAATATATGGGTCAAATATTTTTACATTGAAAATGGCTAGGTTGGTTACGTTGCCTTTGAGAGCGTATGGTAGCCCAGGAATGAGAATTACCCCCATGATGGCATACCATTTGCAAAAGAAGACAACCCAAGGTATTGCAAATGGGGTATGTCCAGTCTTTTTTAGTAACCACTTGGTCACAAACACTGGCCAAAATTAGCGTTCAATTTAGTTTTTTTTTTACATTTTTCACACACAAACAAAAAAGACTGGACATACCCCATATTGAATACCCTGGGTTGTCTACTTTAAAAAAAAATATGTACATGTGGGGTGTTATTCAGAGATTTATGACAGATAATAGTGTTACAATGTCGCTATTGATAAATTTTAAAAATGTATGTTTTGAAACCGCAATATCCTACTTGTACCTATAGCCCTATAACATGCAAAAAAGCACGTAAACACTGTGTATTTTTAAACTCAGGACAAAATTTTTAATCTATTTAGCAGTTTTTTTCATTCGCTTTTGTAGATGAGTAAAAGATTTTTCAAGTAAAAGTCAAAAAACATGTATTTTTTTCAATTTTTCATCATTTTTTTTTTATTTTTTTTAAATTAAAATACATGAGATTATATAAATAATGGTATGTAAAGAAAGCCCCTTTTGTCCTGAAAAAAACAATATATAATTTGTATGGGAACAGTAAATATGAGAGCGGAAAATTACAGCGAAACACAAACGCCACAAAAGTGTAAAAATATGCCTGGTCGCAAATGTACAACATCGCAAAAACAGTCCAGTCCTTAAGGGGTTAATATCACTCGCTTGTTTTTCTTTAGCCATCTTTATTTATTCCCCTAAACATTTCTGGGAGTTTAAAAAAAAAAAAATTGTGTGTGTATATATATGTATGTATGTATGTGTGTGTATATATATATATATATATATATATATATATATATATTTTTGTGTGTTGACTAAAATGTTTGTGCAAATATATGGAAACATGGCAACTACATTGTTAATCTTTACTCTTGCCCTACAGCTCTCACAATGTAAACCTACTGTTGCTGTTGTTCGAGGCATAATAAACACTTTTTTTGGTTTACTGTTGCGTGGGAACTACCTACTGAGGAATCTATAAGCCCATCTAAATATTGGAGGCCTATGTTTTGTAATCTCCCAGAAGAATGAACCCCAAGAAGACACATCCTCTACAGCATCAGATAATGGTTGGCCTCTGGCTCCCCTTTTGTTTCGGAGCAGTTTTTTGGTACCATAGTACTGCATGGAACACTACAACATGGACTTGTTTAAAGGGACACTATAGTCACCAGGACAACTACAACTTAATGTACTTGTTCTGGTGAGTATAATCATTCCCTGCAGGCATTTTCATACAAAAATGTTCTTTCTCTGAAAAGGCAGTGTTTACATTGCCCCTAGGGGCACCTACAAGTGGCCATTGGAGGTGCTTCCTAGCTCAGTGCTACATAGTAGGCAGCACCACCGTTAAGCGTTTCCACGCTCTGCATGGGGACGTTGAATTTTTGTCATAGAGATGCATTGAATCAATACATCTCTATGAGGATGTTCTGATTGGCCAAACAGTATTTGGCTCCGCCCCTTGCCGATTTCAGCCTATCCAGTGATTTCCCCATGCAAAAGCATTGGCTAAAAATTCTCATGTCACCAAGGTGGTGGGAAATAAGATGTTCTAATTCCTTTTGAAGGAGGGGAGGGGGGTGGCGCAAGCCACCTAAATGGTGGGTTTTGCACTATTGGGTCAGTGTTTCTTTAAATGAAAGACCTGTTTGGACCCTCCTAAATGGGGGGCACTTGTAAGAGATGTGATTAACATGTTGAAGATATACACCCCTACTTTAGTACACTGAAAGATCTAAATTGGGATGCTGGTAGTATAGCTTATTTTTATTTTATTTTTTTTATCTGCTTGCCAGTTTAATGTCATCATTAAACTAATGAATAATCCTACAGGATATTTTAACAAAGGAAAAGGTCAAATAATGCAACATTAGTAATAATGGTCTTTGATTTCATATGTAAAAAGCTAGCTGTGCTCTGTCTGAGCATTAACCATCCATTAAAGAATATGCAGAGATTGCTTGTTGAAATCTCAGCACCAAAATATTCTAAAGAACACAATGTATCCTTTTAACACTTTTTTTTTTTTTTTTTTTTTTTTTTTTTTAAGGTATATATTTTTTTTTTTTTATAAATAACTTCATTTAGTCTCAGCAGGCTCCTTTTTGTTTGGGCTTTCTTTACGCTAAATGTATAGGTTTAAAACTAGATGCCTATTACCTGGTAATCTAATGTGGAGACTACATTTTGTCAATACATATATTTCTCATTAAATTAGAGCACTTCTCTATAAGGCATGCACACTTTTCATTGTCTTTAACAAGTAATTTTTTTTCTTGTGTGCTGTAATATGGAAATTTGGAAAAATTCCTCCATTTTTATCTGTACTGCTGGACTACTTTAGCCTGAATTTTGCATTTACTTTTTTTTTTTTTCACTAGCATTTACTATTTAGTGATTAATCACTTTAGAATGTAATTACTGTCAATTTATGGCCCTTTGATAAAACAACTAGGATTTTTACCAAATTACAATCTGACTTTTTCGCTTCATGGATCGTTTGTTTTTGTGTCGGTTGTGCCTGTGGACCTTTTTACATTGGCATCCATTTACCCAAGTTGAAAAGTGCATTTCAGAGACTGCATTGATGTGATCGCCTTCAACTTGATATAATCTGTAAAATGTTTGACAAAAAAGGCAAGAAATGAGCTAGATAATGGCAAACACTCCTAAAGGGGATAACCCTAATAGTTGAAACAAGCAAAAGAGCAAGTGAGAATAGAGTGTGCTAAATACGAGATGTATGACTATATTTTAAAACTTGACTTTTATTAGACTTGAAAATATAATAACATTACCTAAAATACTATTGTTAGTAATTTTCTCAGGATGAGAGAAAGAAAAGGATCGTGAAAAGGATTGCAAGGGATGTCTAAATCGTAATACATTTTACTGTTTTGAAACACTAATATTTGTGTTCAGTGAAGTCTCCTGAGTAAAACAGTAACTCCCCCTCCATGTACAGGGTTTATGGTGTCTTGGAAAATTACATTAAATTCTCTTGACTTTCTTCCTGGGTTATCAGGCAGATCCCGCAAATTGTAATTAATAAAATTACTTAATTATGTAAAATATTACATAAATATATGTAGAATTAAAGTGTGTGTGTGTGTAATATATATATATACACATATATAAATACATACACACACCCCTACAATTTTGCTTTTCATTTAATCTCTTAAGGACGGCGGGCGTGCTATGCCATCCTTCCCACTTACCTGAGGATTATACATGCATAGATATCAAAATACACTTATAACGAAATATATATGTATATATCATAGGCCTTTCCTGGTTAAAAATACTTTATTTAAAATTTATATATATATATATATATATATATATATATATATAATTTTTTTTTTTTTAAATAAAGTATTTTTAACCAGGAAAGGCCTATGATATATACATATATATTTCGTTATAAGTGTATTTTGATATCTATGCATGTATAATCCTCAGGTAAGTGGGAAGGATGGCATAGCACGCCCGCCGTCCTTAAGAGATTAAATGAAAATCTGTGGGGAAAGTATTAAGCTAGTTGGCACTGGTATATGATATAATTGGCATGCATCAGAGAGCTCAAACTCAGAAGATGGTGTCCTCTGCATTTCAGTACTGTAAATGCAATCGCTATTTTAATTCTAAATCGTTCATTTTCCCTACTTTTATCCAAGTAATTAAGAGGAAACCATCTAGTTGCCACTATGAAGAATTGTTAGTGATATAACCACATGAATATTTATACACAATAGTGTAATTACATGATTAGCCTCAAAATGTCTGGATGTAACAATAAAACCTACTTAGATGCACATGGCTTTTGCATGGATTCACATGATTTCCTACCACAGAAACCTGTGAGCTGGGTACCTCCAAACCAGATTTTAAAGCTGATAGTAGAGGTGTTGGTTTTTAATGTCCTAAATGTTAACATTCAGCAAATTTAGCAAAGTAAAATACACTTATAACGAAATATATATGTATATATCATAGGCCTTTCCTGGTTAAAAATACTTTATTTAAAAAAAAAATTATATATATATATATATATATATATATATATATATATATATATATATATATATATATATATAAATTTTTTTTTTAAATAAAGTATTTTTAACCAGGAAAGGCCTATGATATATACATATATATTTCGTTATAAGTGTATTTTGATATCTATGCATGTATAATCCTCAGGTAAGTGGGAAGGATGGCATAGCACGCCCGCCGTCCTTAAGAGATTAAATGAAAAGCAAAATTGTAGGGGTGTGTGTATGTATTTATATATGTGTATACACAGCACATAATATATATAATTTTTTTTGTTTTCTTTTTGCTGCGATCACTACAAAATTAAAGGTGAAAATTAATACCATTAAGTCTCCTGTCTAAAAGTGAACTTGGCATCACCATTTAATGACACTGCTGAACTTTAGCTATACAAAGGCTGAAAAGAGACTTGTCCATCAAGTTCAGCATTTCTCACATTGAAGGCAAAAAAAAGTTTAAAGCACTTCCAATTTTGCAACAAACTAGGAGCATGCAACTTATACTATAAAGTTTAGGAACAAGCAACTTGACCCCAATATAGCAGTCAGATTTATCCTTGGATCAAGAAGCTATTAAACATCTTTACAACTCTAATAAAACTACTTCAGGCAGAGATTTCCACATCCTTATTCTTACTGTAAAAAAAAAAACCTTTCCTTTGCCTTATACCAAATCTTCTTACTTCCAGTCTAAATGGGTGATCTCATCATATGTTTAGTGCTATTTATGAATAGATTTCAAGACAGTGGTTTGTATGGGCCCCAGATTTGTGTATGTTATCTTCTACTCTGAGGCGCTGTTTTTCTAAGCTAAAGAGGTTTAAATGTGTTGACCATTTTAGCTATTAAAACCGGTTAATACCTTTTTATTAATTTAGTAGCCCACATCTGCACTTTTTCTAGTGCCATTTCTATAGAACAGATGCCCAAAACTGCACAGCTTATTCAGGATGTGGTTTTACTAGGGATTTATAAAGTGGCAAAATTATATTCTCATCCTGAGAATGAATGCCTTTTGTTGTGTGTGTGTGTGTGTGTGTGTGTGTGTGTGTGTGTGTGTGTGTGTGTGTATGTATATATGTGTATATATATATATGTATGTATGTATGTATGTATGTGTATATGACCATTGTTTATTTGCCTCAGCCACTGCTGATTGACATGCACATTGTTGCCTAGTTGTCTATCACAATTACCAAATTTTTCTTGGATATTGTTATCCCTAATTTACTACTGTTTAAGCCCTGAACATTAGGGCATACGTTGCTTGTTTATTTTGTACCCCGCAGTGCATAACTTTGCATTTTTCTACATTAAATTTCATATGCCATTTGAGTGCCCAGCACACCAATCTTTCTAAATCCCTCTGCAGCAAAGTAATATCTTGCTCACATTTGTGTTACTTTAGAGTTTTGTGTCATCCACAAACGGGTTTCCTGTGGGGAAAGTACTAAGCTAGTTGGCACTGGTATATGATATAATTGGCATGCATCAGAGAGCTCAAACTCAGAAGATGGTGTCCTCTGCATTTCAGTACTGTAAATGCAATCGCTATTTTAATTCTAAATCGTTCATTTTCCCTACTTTTATCCAAGTAATTAAGAGGAAACCATCTAGTTGCCACTATGAAGAATTGTTAGTGATATAACCACATGAATATTTATACACAATAGTGTAATTACATGATTAGCCTCAAAATGTCTGGATGTAACAATAAAACCTACTTAGATGCACATGGCTTTTGCATGGATGCACATGATTTCCTACCACAGAAACCTGTGAGCTGGGTACCTCCAAACCAGATTTTAAAGCTGATAGTAGAGGTGTTGGTTTTTAATGTCCTAAATGTTAACATTCAGCAAATTAAGTTTACTGTTCAATTCAGTCCCCCATGGGCTTATATAACCTTATTAGAAGCTTTCCAGACTGTTCTGAATGTAAATGCCAGATTCCTCCTGAAGGGAGATAAATTTCTAGTGAATTTAAATCTGCTCCCTGCCCAATATAAATAAATAATTTAGTCCTTAAGATGGCAGAATACAGGTGGCAAGTACTGCAGGTGAAATTTGGCACAGACGTGTTTTTTTTTTTTGTTTTTTTTTTTTAATTTTTTTATTCCTGGTGTGAAGAGGGCACTACAAGCTAAATATTTACAATACTTCACTTTGAAAATATAGGCTGAATAGATAATTTGTGACAAGTCAGTAAACCATTCCTGCTCAGTCTGTTTATAGAACTTGTACAGTTCTGAGGAATGCACAATTGCATATGCATAGTATCTCTGGTGACTGTGCATTGCAGTGCATTTTTCATAATTCTTTCTTTATGGCAAAAATCTGAGGTGGGCAATCTAGATCGGAAAGGAGACAGATGTCCATCCTAATGAGGCGAGCTGTGCATTCTTGATCTGTGATTTGAGCTGAGGTTTGGCTGCGAACTTCTTTGTGAGCAGTTTCCTGTGTGTAAACTTGACTGAGGCTGGCCTCCTTAGGTCATAAACTCTTGCTAGACCTGGAGCCTACACCAGGATTAGGAAACCTTCCTCACTCCAGATGTTAACTATATCTCCTATAAAGCTTACAGCCGTAATGCTGGCAAAACTTCAGGAAAAATGTAGTCTACAACACCTGCATTGCTGAAGATTGCCTTACCCTGCTCAAGATCCAGATCCTGCACACTGCTTGTATAGTGTAAATTGTCGTGGATTAAGGAAATAGTTGTGCCTAGGCACATCATAATGCATGGCCAAATGGTCCTTCATGTCCTCTGATTAGGAATCCATGGGCATTTTTATGAAAGCTTGGGTTGGATTTCTGTTTTTAAAGAAACTGTATCTCTATCATTACTTTGATTTCATTAAATACTAATTTTGTAAATTAAGTTTAGATGCTCATTTTTTAACTTTGTGCACACACTAAAATAATGTGCTGCTCACACCTATGATTAATTAGATTTACCTGACGCTCTTCTTCCTTTGCACTGCTTTTTCATCTCCTGCATTTCTCACCTGTCAGGAGCTGCGTCAGTCAGGTAAACTTGAGGGTGCGTGACTGTACAAAATTGAGTTGTATAGGAGATCCCACAGAACTGCAACTCTTTTACCAGCAGAATCAGACTCTCAGTCCTCTATTGTGTATAGTATTGCCAAGCAACAGCTGATTGAGAATTGTAGAATGCAACATTTTGTCAAAAATTAGGTCCGAAGTGAAACAAAGTAGTCAATGCAATGTCTCAAGTAGAATTTGTGCTTCTTTAAAAATCCAAAGAAGTAAACAAGATTATCTTTATGAAAATCATTAACATGATAGTGATTTAAGATTTAAAAAAAAAAAAAAAATGCATTATCTGAGGATAAATATGTATAAACCATATGCAAACTATGCTTTACCTATAAGATGCCCATAGTGATTTGCATATGACAAATCTGTTAAAGAATTTCTTATTCTTGACTCCCTTTTAAAATTTGATATACATTTTCAATACCTTTCTGTTCATTTTGGACTGTTGGCTCTCTAATCTGAGCCAAGTCTCTTTTTATTGTTTCTTTAAATGAAAAAGGAGCCTACATCTAAAGTAGTTTCCCTTCTTTCCTCAATAGCTATGAAGGTTTTACCCAAAAGCTTGTTAGTGTTTCTCCTTCAATAAAAGTATTGGATGTGCAGAGACTAGAAACTGTTTATTTGACCTTTTAAAGTGCACGTGTCAATTATGCATGGTCTACTTTCACTTAAACTGCCAGCACTGTGTGCAATTTCACTTTTAACCGAATAGCCCACTTTTTTTCCCGTCAGATAACAGGATCACCTTTTGGTAGTTGTGCATGCAATTCATTTGCATTATGGTGCATTTGCAATTCTTGTGTAGCACATGCATTATGCAGAAGCAAACACATTATTGACCTGTAAGCTCACACTTTAAGAGGCAAATGCTTTTTGTTTTTTTGTCTGAAACATTTAATTTTTAGCACACCGTTTAGATAATATCTGACTGCACATTTTTTATTTAAAAGACCACTATAGTCACCCAGACCACTCCAGCTCAATGAAGTGGTCTGGGTGCCAGGTCCCTCAGGTTTTAACCCTTCACATGTAAACATAGCAGTTTTAAAGAAACTGCTATGTTTACATTGCAGGTCTAATCCAGCCTCTAGTGGCTGTCTTCCTGACAACTGCTAGAGGCGCTTCCCCGACGCTCAATGCAAAAATCAATTGAGCATGCAGAAAGTCCATAGGAAAGCATAGGCCACGAATGCGCAGGACCTCGGAGGGGGAGGAGAGTTCCCCAGCACAGAGGGAGCCCGGCGCTGGATAAAGGTGAGTGGCTGAAGGGGTTCAAACCCCTTTCAGCCCTGCGGCTGGGGGTGACCTAATGACCCTATAGTGATCCTTAAAAGCTCAGTTTATCCTGGCAAGTCATACTACAGTTTGTTTGTTTTTTTCCCTTCTAGTACATTTTTAGTTTTTTTTTTTTTATTATTTATTTTTTTTAAAATACCATCAGGCCTTAACTGTGGTATAAGCTCTTATGGAGTATTAACACGGCAAATCTGAGAACCGCTAAATCAAATGACGATAGTTGATTTTTCTAATTCCAATCAGATTTTTACTGCAAAATAACAAACAAAAGGTGTGTGTGTATGTGTGTTTGTGTACTTTTATTTATTTTTCTTCAATGTATTTTTGTTAGAATCTATTTGCTTGTTTTTTTTTTTTGTTTTTTTTTTACATGTTATGTAATGCTTTGGGAAGCTGAACTCTAGGTGTATTACAACATAACTCCCTCCCAAACTTTATTTACTCCAGTGATAATTTCAGCTCATTGGTTTATTTCTATCAAAGAGAAAAACTACCAGTTAGGGGTGACCGGATTTGCTAACAATCTGGTATCTTACCTGCTTTTAGATGTTATGAAACATGCTTGTGTGTGCTGGTGCATCATTCTTTGCAAGTCTCTGGCAAGTACACATTAATTTGACTTTCTTCTTGATGAGGTATGCACTTATTTATATTTGAGTTATTTTGTTAAAACTCTAAACTAAAAGCATGAAAAGAAAGCAACATTTAATCAGAAGCAATCTCTCTTCTATTTTTGGCAACAAAAAAAACCTGGAAAAATTGATTTATTAGGTTACATGTGTGCAGTTTTTACCCTCATACGCTCCTTCTGCTAGCCGGATTAGTTTGAGATGTATCTCTGTTAAAGAACCATGCGGCTCCACAAAGGCTAAATAACAAACTAATGTAATTTCATATAAAGTAATTTGAGGTCAAATTTAACCACAACTATTGTATGAAGATTTAAGCTAACCTATTAAAATCACTTCTAATACCTATGCACATAGGAGGCAGAGTAAAGCTGTATTTTATAGGAAGGTTGGCTTGGAACCAAAAAGCACTTGTGCATTCTGTTTATAGTGAGCAGTTTTGTTTATTATCCCTTCAAAGGGATACTCCAGGCACCCAGACCACTTCAGCCCATTGGATCCCACTACCCTTAAACCTGCAAGTGTAATTATTGCAGTTTACATAAACTGCAATATTTACCTTGCAGAGTTAAGTCCTCCTCTAGTGGCTAACTAATGTTTTCCTGGTACTGGAGAATCCCTTTAAATAAATCTGGAACAAGGAAAGAGAAAAAAAAACCCTACTACACCAGTGCAACTTTTTTTTAAATTTTATTTATATTTTAAATATACCTTCTTTCACTGCCTGGGTATTATGTAATGGAATTTTTGTTTTATATATTTTTTTGAAATGGCATTTTTACTATCACTTAAGGTTCTATCGTATTGTGGAAATTATTGGCTTTAGTTTTGTAGGTTCACTTTTCATTTTTTTGTTTTTTGTTTTGTGTTTTTTTTTTTTTACTATAAGAGAATATTCTTCTTCTTATGAAAATTCAATTTGAAGAACAGCTTTTACATATTTTATACCAGACTGAGTGTAATCCATATATTCCATTGAAGTCCACCATCCAGTAAAATTGGATTTCATGACTATTGGGATGATTGTTAAACTCTCCTTATATCTTTACACTGTAAGACTGAGGTGCTAAAGAAACTTCCTCGGGGCACATGAAGGGCATGACAACAAAAGTAATGGACTGTGGATTGAATCAAAGTGCCCAGCTGTGAAAACAAAGCAGGCTGTTATTCCTTTAAATGGCACTACTTAAAGTGAAATTATATATGTACAATGATACTTTTAAAACAATACCTTAAGTGTGTGTCCTTCCTTTATCATGTGACTAATATTGTTGAATTTTATAGTCTGACATGAGCATCTGAAGATGCTTAATTTGTAGAAACACAGGTTACCAAAAAGTGTTTGTATATACACACACATTGTGTATGACATATTGTATTTATATAGCTTTTCTACACTTTTTTAAAAGAGTGACATTTATTTTAATTTGTGCCATACCGAGTTATACACTGAAGTCTGTATTGAATCCAGAATGCTTGTTTGAAAGCTGGAGAATTATTACAGAACCCCTATTTTTGCCTAAATAACAGCATTCAGATTTAATTCACTCACTTCAGAGCTTAGGGAGTAGACTTGTTTCAGGAGATTTAAAACTTTTACAAGACCATCAAAATGACACCAACCATTTCATCGCTATGAAGTCTGGGTGCAGTGGCCTTTTTCGGTTTAACCCTGCAATCTAATACATGGCTGTTAGTAGATATGGCAATTTTGTGATTGAACGGTTAATACACCTTCCTGACTAAAGGAACTTACTATGTGAGAATGTGTGTGAGCAGTAGCCTAGCAGGATTGATGTCTCAGCCAGGGAGGAAGAAATGGCAGCACAGTCTGGGTCGGCGAGTAATACAATGTTATTAAAGCAGCACTGTCATGCCGAACTTACCTTTCCTCAAGCTCTTCCTCTTCTCCCCCTCTCTCAGGATCTGTTCTTCTCTTCTTCTTGCCTTCTTTAGTTTTCTTTAAAATCATAAGACATGGAGGATTCCTCCGCTTGACCAGCTCTGACCAGCGGAGGAGCAAAGTGTGCTTCATTTCCGCTGGTCAGAGCAATTTCTCCACAATTCTTACCTTTCCTCTGTGTTCCCGTGATGCTTCCTGTTATTTTACACGAAACTGCCGAATTGCATTCTAACGGAATGAGAACAGTATGTCCGTTTGTTTTATAACGCAATTCGGCACTTTATTCGGATCGCAATTTCGTTCGAATGAATGAAACTCCGATCCTATTCTTGCTGTGGCTGCATCTTGCAGCCGATTAGTAGATAACTCCATAATTCCCACGGTATCAGGGAACTATCTACTAAAAGGCTGAATGACCTAAATTGGTCTTTCAGCCAAATTTGCTAATACTAAGTAAAAATTACTTCGTATTAGTAAATGATCTGCCCCTACTCGCTATACCGCGAGTAGGGGCATGCTCACTGTAAAAAAAAAAAACCTAAAAAAAACTATTGGCCACCACCTCTAAACGACGGATGGGAGCCCTAAAGTAAAATAAGGGGGGAGACCTAATGTCCCCCCCCTGACTGGGTGGGGGTCATAATGATAATGGGGGGGGGACCTACTGTCCGCCCCTGGGCGGCGGGTGAGGGCCATAATGAAAATGAGGGGGGGGAGGGGTACCTACTTCCAAAGAACTTTCCCAGCTGTGTAAAATGACACAGAGCACTGTGATTGGATGGCTTTTATTTTATTTATTTTTTATTGGAAATGGAGGGCCTCCTAAATAGAACACTTGGGTTTTAGGAATATATTCTTGTATTTCTAACACTAAACTGTTCCTTTAAATATGCACAGAATGTAGTATATGCAGTATAGTTAAAATACTCATGCCCATTTGGCTAAGGGTTTCTTTAGTGACTGATGTGAAACTGACAGATATAAATGCTTTATTGCACAAAGTGCCTTTTAATTACGAAGCCTACCCAGGGCCAGGCACAAGACATGGTACTGCCTGGGTCCAAAGAGAAAATGTGGCCCCACCCCACACCACCACGCTCACCAAAACAAATCCACATACATTTTGTCAAATCATGATGATTAAAACCCAAATTGAACTGTTCAGGATCATGATTGAATCTATACATTCCAGTAACATATTTAGAGCAATGTACACTAAATTGTGTGTGTATATATGAATATAAATAAACATAGAATGTGATGCCAGATGAGAACAGTTTGGCCCATCTAGTCTGCTCAATTTTCTAAATACTTTCATTAGTCCCTGGCCTTATCTTATATCTAGGATAGCTTTATGCCTATAGCTTTATGCCTATCCCACGCATGCTTAAAATCCCTAACTGTGTTAACATCTACCACTTTAGCTGGAAGGCTACTCCATGCATCCACTACCCTCTTTGTAAAGTAAAATAGGGAGTTCCACGAGATCCTGATTATATTGCCCAAACAAAGATGAGAAGACCGCAAGCAAAAAATCAAATCCTGGAATAAACTGGCCAGGTAGTTTGATCACAGAAGGGTTCACAAATGAGTCTTGGTAGTGTCTATTGAATGTCTATTATGGGGTTTGACGATTATATATTTAAAGGTGTTGTATTGGTACCCCCTAGTAATAGAAGGGTTTCACCGACAGAGACGTCCTTTTCCCAATGGTGAGAGGTGATATAGCGGTTCCCCTACATTAAGAGACAGAACTCCGTATTAAGGGTGAAGATAAACTGAGGTTTAATGGAGGCACACTGCCTTTTATGCAGGTTTCCCAACAAAGGTGACGCCCAGGTGGACCTTGTTGGGCACAGGGACACAGTGTACAAACTAATGAAAACAAGGTGACAAAGAATGACACTCCCACATACAGTACACAATCCCTCCCCTCTGCCTGTGATATAATTAAGGCAGATAATGCCTTAACCTAATTATCCCCAGGCAGAAAACCCCCCACATTTTTACAAAGTTTAATAAGTACCCCAAAATACAACATATTCCCCCTATCCAGTCACATGCCCTGAAAGCCATTATCTGGGGGAAAAGCATACTTAAAAATCACCCAGATCGGTTTATGGGTTTAAAAGTTAGTTGGAGGTCTTTTTTTTTTATGACCGCACGCATGGCTTCATGCCCAAAACAGTTCCAGAGAATTAGGCTGTGGGACCGGTCTATTTCAATAGTCATAGTAATGTTCCAGTAGTCGAATGTAGCCGTTCGTGCCCAGTCAGTGTATCTGGTTCGGGAGATTAAATCTACTGAACGGCGCTCCATTCGTGTAATTCCAGTTGAACCTTTGATGTGCTGGACATGAAGTGAGTGTCTGTGTGCTGGGAATGCAACGTGTGTGCTGGCTTCCTATGGGCTGCACACTGTGTGTGCGCTGCAGCCAATCATGACATTTACCCTTGCTGCATCTGCAGTGGTGTCTCTTCTGGCTGAAGAGGGCTGCTTGTGCCTCCCCTTGCACTGCGAGTCCTGGCTGCCAGCCGCCTCTGCTGCTCTGTAGGTTTTCTGATACGTAGGGCATTCTGACACTGTGGCCTGGTCCAACTTCCATGGCTGAAATCATCCATCTTGATAAATCTCAGCCAATCCAATGTTTTGCCACAGGAAATCTTTGGGAGGCTATTGTGCATGTGCAGCGTTTTGCTATGCTCCTCAGAGATACATTGAGTTAATAGATCTCTATGGGGAATGAACGTCAGTGCTGCTAAATATAGGAATCACCTCTAGTGAGTTCCACTAGAGATGTTAAACTAGAGTTGTTAAACAATATTACTTTCATTTATAGAAGTCATAGTTGTACATATGCTATTGCTTCTTATGGTACTAGTTTATTTGCATGTTGTATTCACTTTCGTATTTGCAAACAGAAGGATTATTGAGTTTACAGATTTCCATATTGCAGGTGTGCTAATAGGATGTGCTGGCAAAACTGTTAATTGTGTAAACAATGAATAAATCTAACTCACAAACTGCAGCATATACAAGTATTCCCATATGGCAATAAGGATGTGTTTAGCTGCTTTGATTTATTGTTTGTTTTACCGTCACACGTGTGCCCTGTGTGGTTAATTTTGTCTTATTTTGACCAGTGAAATGTACCGAAGTGCATTACTATAATATCTCTTTTGTTTATTTAGTAAAGGAAGCTGTTATAGAAAATAATGCCTCTCCAGTGTACGTTCAGCTCTCCTGCAGGCAACATGGTAGCAGGCTGCATATGAATTGTGTATGTAGTGTTGATGTTGCATGTTAATTGTTTTCTCCTGAAGGTTAGTGGATCTGTAATGTCATGTTAAAGGAACACTATAGAGACCAGAATACAAACATGTTAAAACCATGTTTAGGTTCCCTGCTTCCTCGTTAGCAAAGTAAAAGGGGCATTTACTCACCTTTTTCCATTGGTGCGAGTCTTATTGTGGTTGCAGCCGCCCCTGCTCCACCTTCTTATTCGAGATCATCAAACTTGACAAACTCAGCCACTTCAATGCTTTCCAATAAGTGACTGGTGACATAGGTTTAACGGTGACTATTGTGTCCCTTTTAAAAATAGTTCTAGAAGACATGATCACCTGTTCCTTGGAAATCCTAGGATAACTTATTTTGTTCATAGAATTGCCATTTGAAAATAGATTTTTGAGAGAACTACAAAGATTTAAACATGCAAAATATTCTTCATATTTACAACGTATTAAAGGACCACTATAGGCACCCAGACCACTTCAGCTTAATGAGGTGATCTGGGTGCCAGGTCCACCTAGGATTAACACTTTCTGCTGTAAACATAGTTTCATAGAAACTGCTATGTTTACTTTAGGGTTAATGCAGCCTCTAGTGGCTGTCTCAATGACAGCCGCTAGAGGCGCTTCCGCGCTTCTTACTGTGATTTTCAGTGAGAAGACGCCAGCTCTTGCCGCGCATGCGCATTCAGCCAATGACTGAGAAAGGAGGATAGTCTCCAACACAGAGGAAGCCCGGCGCTGGAGAAAGGTAAGTGTTTAACCCCTATCTCTCCATCCAGCCCGGTGGGAGTGGGACCCTGAGAGTGGGGGCACCCTCAGGGCACTATAGTGCCAGGAAAAAGTGTTTTCCTGGCACTATAGTTGTCCTTTAATGAGGTCAAAATATATCAAATTGCAGTTTTTGTGTGGGCAGATCTTAAATAAGCACTATATAGTGTTAGGAATACAAAACAGTATTTTTAACACTGTAGTAACCCTCTGCCCCCTCCCAATCATGAAAGGGTCAAAAACACTTTCTTTCACTTACCTAAATATAGTTCTCGGTCCCTTCCCCTGTGCAGTCACGGCAATAGGGGAAACTAATCCGTGGCTAGTAACACGCGCCTTTAGGCCTTCACCTTAGGAAAGCATTGAATCAGTGTTTCTCTATGGGAATTTTCAATCCACTGAATGTCCTCATTAAAAAATGTGAGGCCGTCCAGCGTCATTTCACGGATTTAAACTCTGAATCGAGAAAGCGCCTCTAACAGTGTCTTAACCCTGCAATATCAACAGTGTAGTTTCTGCAGGGTTAATGGGATAATGGGATGAACTGGTCTGGTTGCCTATAGTGTCCTTTTAAGCTTTTTTATTTTTTTTAATTTACCAATTTCACAAGTACATTATCTGGTGAATATTGTCACTTTAAACTTAAAGGGACACCGTAGGCACTGTATCATTTCATTAAACTGGTTATAGTGTATGGAGTCCCCTGGTGCCATCATTTCTTTCAGCATTAAACCGTTTTTATATTGTAATGTTTTAATGCTAGATAAGAGACCATGGCAGTCCATCCACTTTGTGCTGCTTTGGCTAATAAGGAAGTATTACCCTGAGCAGCAATGGGCAGCTGTGATTGGCTGAAAGTGTCAGCTGACTGCTTTTAACCTGTCAGAGCTCCAACTGATGGTATGAATGGGTATGATAACAAGGAAGTGTGTAATCTCTGCCTTAGCTACACATACAGACGCGGTCGGACTGTGGGTGGCCAGGGACTCTTATTTTGTGGCATACTGCACAAACATGGTGCAACACTGAATGGAGGGACAGTGCCAGGCACTATAACCAATTCAAAGAGACAAAGTGGTTATTGTGACTACAGTGTCCCTTTAAATAGCTACTTGGGTTCAGAATCTGCCAGTGTGAGTCTGTACCAAATTTGCCTGGACTTTGCTGAGGTATAGGACTTTACCAACGGACCTTGCCAGAATCCACAATGAACTGTTAACATGGAAGTTGAGGGGACAGAATATAATGTAAATTCAGGATAAATGCTCAAGGTAATATGCTTGGTGCATACTGTACAGTTTGATTGTGGTTATATTTACACCATTCTTCCAATTTCTACATCCTGCTATTGCCAGCAGACCCTTAAACTGACTGAGCACGGTAGTGTTGCTTCTTCAGGATTAACTCTCTCGTTTACATAGAAGGAACGTTTGCTCCTGGGAATACTGGTTTATTGACCTTGAAGTGTTGGTGAGCCAGCTGTACAGCGTTATTTCTAAGACAACTCGAGGGCATGAATCAATTTTGTAAATTGATAAATATGAAATATCAGGGGTTGTCTGAGACCATTCCATACCATTCTCTGAATCGATAGTGTGAAATGGGCAGATATATAAATGTCTAGTGGTATAAATATTCATTTGTTCCAGCTGTTACCCCTTACTGACTCTTTTGAGCCCCCCAATGCTCCTCTACCTGTAATTTCCAATTTACAGAGTGTGTTGCATGACATGAGTTGCCTGTTTGATTAAAATGCATTTTTCATGAGCTTGAAAGCTTTTTGATGTTTACACCTATTAATGTTTGTGTAAAGTAACTATTTACAGATGAATGGATTTCTCTCTCTGCTTTTTATGTTTGATCAATGAGGACAGAATCAAAATTGATCTTGACAAAGTACCTTTTGTAATGAAGCAGCTGAGGGGCCTGGACAGAGCTGGCCACGTTTGTAAGCATTAAAGGAAGAATTAACCAGGTGCTTTCAATGCCTCTCTTGTTGGCAGAGTGTGCAAAATAAAATACTGTTGCACAGCCAAGCAGCTCGTGACAAAGTGCCTATTGTAAGATGGGAAATATTAGAAACATAGTATTATTTGGTCAGCACAACTCTGTATCTGATCACTATACGCAGCACTTCAATGGTTACATTTTCTACAGAAAGAATGGTTGGTTTTCTTAAAGGAACACTATAGTCACCTAAATTACTTTAGCTAAATAAAGCAGTTTTAGTGTATAGATCATTCCCCTGCAATTTCATTGCTCAATTCAATATCATTTAGGAGTTAAATCACTTTGTTTCTGTTTATGCAGCCCTAGCCACACCTCCCCTGGCTATGATTGACAGAGCCTGCATGGGAAAAAACTTTCAAACAGATGTAATTTACCTTTAATTGTATCTCAATCTCTAAATTGAACTTTAATCACATACATGAGGCTCTTGCAGGGTCTATCTAGCAAGCTATTAACATAGCAGGGGATACGAAAATCTTAATTAAACAGAACTTGCAATAAGGAAAGCCTTAATAGGGCTCTCTTTACAGGAAGTGTTTATGGAAGGCTGTGCAAGTCACATGCAGGGAGGTGTGACTAGGGTTTATAAACAAAGGGATTTAACTCCTAAATGGCAGAGGATTGAGCAGTGATGCTGCAGGGGCATGTTCTAAACACCAAAACTGCTTCATTAAGCTAAAGTTGTTCAGGTGACTATAGTGTCCCTTTAATGTACATACTTTGTTTTTGCACATAATTTGAGTGCAGTGCTAGAAAAAAGTACCTTCTTGAAAATGAAGTTATCATTTAATTTTCATGGCATTTAACTGTTTTGGGTGAATTAAGCCATTCTATCATTAAAGTACTGTAAGCTCAAATCTTTGCATTTTATTGATCTTATGTGTCTGGAGAGTAAGGGAGGGGTTAATGTCCTATTATCTGATCTTCATCACACTAGAATTTAGTCTTTTCCATGAGACTGTCCCCCCCCAACCTGTCTTTTTTTCTTCTCACCCTCTGTCAAAGCCTTCTGTGGTTTTGTTCTCACTGAAAATTGGTAAACTAATCTTGAGAATGACGTAAATCCTATCTAGTGTTTGTTATTGGTTAGGAATGGGATAAGCACTCTTTATGTCTATCCAGATATGTTCTCAAGAGAGGCAAAATCTTGAGCTGCATTAAAATCTACACACTTTTAATTAACATGGACTATGCCACAGGTCTATAATCTTCATTTATTGGTTTGGATTTGCTACGCTCTGGAGTAGTCTTCTTGAACAAAATCTGCTGTTATCCTTGTTTCTGACCTAATTAGCTACCCAGTGGCCGGTGAGTATAATTAAAATGTTTATTCAGTCTAAAATCCCAATATTCTCCTATCGTGGCTTTTACGGAAATTAATGAGGATTATAAAGACTTAATCAACAGTCAGGCTAAGAAGTGCATTCTGCTAAGCGGCATGCATTTAACTTGTGGTAAAGGTAAAATCCTCTAAGATATCTCCATAGCTGGCATTTTAATGTCTATTTTATACTTTCAGCTTTATTAACTAATTTAGGATTCATAGTAAGAGTGTTCACTAAATATGGTTGTTATTAAAGGAATAGTTTTGAGCACGTACGTCTGCGCTTCTTACATGGGGGCAGGGGGGTGGGAAGGTTCTTTGATTCAAAAAATCTGCTGATCAGTGCTGAATTTCTATGTAGTTCTTCTAAAAAAAAAAAAAAATCTGATTTCTTTGAACTTTGATTGTAGCTGTTTTACTTTAGAATTAAGGAGGCATTGAAACTACTGAAGGATTCCTCATGGAAAGATGTGATCAAGATAAGTATACTAAACTCTTTTACGGCATGTTTATAAAGCTTCTTTGGAGCCATGGAATCAGTAAAATTATCTGAAATCCAGGCAAGTGCTGTAATTAAATATTAATACTGTTTCTTGAGCTAAGAACTTGAAAGGATTTGGGTTGCAAACCTCTTTTCTCAAATGTTCTTGATGGCTGTACCTCAGAAGTTCAAAATGTACAGTTGTACAGTCGGCATTTCATATTTTTAGTGGATAGTTTTGCATCATTAAAAACAATAGACTTGTTTTTCTTAAAGGAACACAAACATGTTTGTTGGATTCTTTTTATTTTGCACAGACTAGGCGGCTGTCCTTTACATTTTTCTCTTTTCTTTTTGCCTGAAATACTGCTTATCCTGTCAAAGCATATGATTTGTCGTATCCCAAACATCTACAAATGTCTAAGGCAACCCCCTAGTCTTGGCCTCATAATATACCTTTGTAAAAAAAATTGCCCCCTTTTTAGGTAGGTATATCGTGGGGGCGGTGTCACGGTATACCCATGAGTAGTTTTTACTACCGCATAGGTTGTCCCTTCTCAGTGTGAATAGCTTCAGAGTGATTATGCTTTCTCTTCAGATGTACTGCTGTCTCTCCCAAATACTAGCTGAGACTTAGTGAATGGTGACGTAGAACTGTTTTTACTTACTTAAACCCAGAGCATGGGGTCTCCATTCATTGTAACATAAGCCCGCCCAGGCGCCTCTGTGTCTGGGAGATATTTGAGTTAGCCCTTGTTAAATTATCTCCTGGATGCCAAGAGCACAATACAGAAAACACCCCAAAACAAACATAATATGGCTGAGCACCTCTAGGTGTCATATCTCCCAGGGAAGTTCTCTTAAGAGCTCCCATTCTGTCCAAAAAGGCCACGGATCAGATGAGACTAGCTCGAGTTGGATGGAAGTACAAAAGTTCAGCAGGATGCGGCTAGTCTCGGATACGTAACAGAGTTCCAGAGTGCTGGGTAGTTTTCCCTGGCCATCTAAAAAAACAGTGCTTACTGTGGGTACATGGGGCTTCCCCAAGTCCTTGGTGTTATTCGATGCCTCTCCACCTCCCCTGTTAACCATTCCAAAGAGCGCCCTCATTGATGGTCTTTGGAAGTTTTAGCGGATCGTGGGGTAGATTTCAGGACGGTTTTGGGTCCCCGTCTAGCGCACCATGTCTCAGTGGCCCCCTGGTGAATGAAAGGTGGCCCTGTGCTGCAAGAAAGAGGCTTGGAGACATGGGTGGAGAGTCAGTCCGTAGTGTTCATAGACTTTTGAGAGATATATGCCAGTGAGAGAAGGTGGGGTTTCGGGAGTCATGTACCTGGCTTAGGTGACCACAGGGTCTGTCACAGCTGGGATTACCCCCAATACTCTGAAATGGTAGCAGACATTCAGATTGTGTATTGTCTGCAATGGGGCATGGATGCACTGAAGTTTTACTTGTATGTTAGCATTACAAAATATACACACACTGGCTAGAATACATGTATTTTTGTTTATATTCCTTAATAAAAAGATTTTTCTTATAAGGGGCATGTAAGCTATGTAAAGAGTTGCAGTGTGTTCACATCTAATAGAAAATTATGGATTAAACAGAGTTAAAATAATGTTCCAATTTTCCCTATTCTGCAACTGTTAATTTGCTGTGCCACTGTTTTAGAGGGCAACCATTGAAGTGATCGTGATAGCACTGTTCTGTCTAAATCACTTTATCTTTTATAGGGATCTTCCACTATAGGGTTCATATCGTTCATGATTTCCATGGTGCCCCAGATTTCTGACACCTAGTTTAACTACAAAGTAGCTAAAGCCTTGATGTGTTTGGCAGGCAGATAGAATTGGTGCTTTATCTCAAAAGGTGGACAGCAGCCAAAAACCACATATTCAATTAGGCATGACCTGGTTTAAAAAAAAATAAATGCAAGACTCTTAATAGCAGTTCATCAAATTAAAAGTACCCTGGTAGAACTCTTACTAAGGTTATTTTTTTATTTTTTTTTTGCATATAAACCTTCGCACAAACAGTGATGTATTTTTTTTTTTTCTCTTTTCAGGAGGAGTATATGGTCTTTGTGCTTAGCATGTGTATTCTATTCCGCTGAGCAGCTGTTGCTTGCAGCATTAAAGGACCACTATAGTGCCAGGAAAACATACTCGTTTTCCTGGCACTATAGTGCCCTGAGGGTGCCCCCACCCTCAGGGACGCCCGGCTCTGGAAAGGGGTAATAACTTACCTTTTTCCAGCGCTGGGCGGGGAGCTCTCTGCCTCCGATCCTCCTCCGTTCCTCCTCCTGGGCTGAATGCGCACGCGCGGCAAGAGCTGCGCGCGCATTCAGCCCGTCGCATAGGAAAGCATTTACAATGCTTTCCTATGGACGCTTGCGTGCTCTCACTGTGAAAATCACAGTGAGAAGCACGCAAGCGCCTCTAGTGGCTGTCAATGAGACAGCCACTAGAGGATTAGGGGGAAGGCTTAACCCATTCATAAACATAGCAGTGTCTCTGAAACTGCTATGTTTATTAAAAAATGGGTTAACCCTAGAAGGACCTGGCACCCAGACCACTTCATTAAGCTGAAGTGGTCTGGGTGCCTAGAGTGGTCCTTTAAACCATGATAACCAGCACAGAGTGGCATATAGTTAATAGCTAAATAGAGATGTCCTGTTGACTAATGCAATCAAGAGCTGTCCTTGCTCATGTAACCACACTGTAGACCAGTTAGTCAGGATGTTGAAGCTAGCCAGAAGTTGGTGAATGTTTGTATGTATTTTTTTTTTTTTTTATTCAAATCTAATAAATTGCCAAAGTATATGAAAGGACTTGTGAGTTTAGGACAGTTGTTAGACTGGTTTTTAATTAACAAACAACATGTATTCCTAATGCTTTAGTGTCCCTGTAGTGGTTTACTACCCACCTCTGAGTACATGAAATTTGACTTTTATTTACCTTTCTTCCATTGCAACAATACTTTCCCTGCCTCTGTAGCCTCTTTGGCTGAAATAAAGTCAATCTTGATGATTTCAATCAACCCAATGCATACCCATAGGGAAGCATTGGGAGGCTACTACACAAAAATGTGTGAGCAGGCGTTTGATTGAGAACGGAGTTTGACAGCCAATAGAGGCTTGCTAACGCTGCATTGTGAACATTGCAATTTCCACAAAACTGCAGTGTTTTACATTGCAGTGTTAAAACTAGAGGGCCACCACACGCACCTCCTTTAAAATGGCATATATTATTCATTGCATTCAGTGTTTGCTGTGCTAGTTAAGCTGTTGCCATCTTTACTTAGTGCTTTCGGGTAGACCAAGCATTGGCGCAGTTCATGTGATTACAGGAACTACATAATTGGATCTCCAAAATAGCATGGCCTGAGAAAATTCTGCATAAAAGGATATGGTGCAAAGACATGGTGAACACAGTGTGGTACCTGCTTGCCTTTGTGAAAAGGTTAAATTTAGTTTACTTTTTATTTTTTAATTTCATCAGCAAATCGCTTGGTGATGCTGTTAGAACACAGTTTGCCTTTGGAAGGCTGTGCTGTGTATCCAAAAGAGACCGTACGAATTGTAATGTAGCAGATCACTTCCACAAGAAATGAGGAAGCTCTGCATTGATGACCACTGTAATATAGTAAATGCAGATATTTCAAACACCTGATTATTAAACATGTGAACTATTGTATCAAGATGTGGTTGGCAACCTTCGGTACTCCAGATGTAATGTACTACATCACCCTTAATGCTTTTCAGACATAATTCTGGCAAAGCATTGGGGAGATTTAGTTCACATCTGGAGTGCTGAAGGTTGCCTAGCCCTGGTGTAGTGATATAACTGCTGAATATTAATACCCCCTTTATTTACATCTGTACTGGGTCATGACTCCGCCTCCTCCAAAGTCACTAGACGAGGGGCGCTAATGTGCATGCGCGTGCATTCGGCTTTTGCCATAGTAAAGCATTGCATCAATTTTTATTCTATGGGGAAATAACTGACACTGGATGTCTCCTGGAGAGCGTGAGAACATGCAGCATCTGTGACCGGACCAAAAGAAGATCTTAGTGCTGAAATGTAAATGTTGCAGTTTCTCTAAAACTGCAATGTTTTACATTGTAGCACTAAATGCAATAGGGACACTGTACTCAGACCATTTCAATGAGCTGAATTGGTCTGGGTGCCCATAGTGTCCTTTTAATAGGCTCTTTTGTTGTCACCATCTTGCTAATGGTTGCATATCATGTTTTCTAGATTGTGATAGTGAAGTTTGTGTACTTGAATGGCATGTATCTGACTACTTCAGTATCAAAGGGAAGAGATACAAGCAATAAATATTGGTCAAAACGTCTGTTAGGAAACCGTTTTTAGCCTAAAGTTTATTTACACAATCAGTGTTGCTCAGCTTACTTGATGAGACAGGACAAGGCAAATCCAGATCACAATGGCAATACAAAAAGGGGACCTGGTACCCCAAATCTACCTCTTGTTAGGAGCAGTCAAAAATATCCTTCACAGACTTTTATGTTTTATTATTCTCCTTTTCATGCAGCTCAACACTGTTGAAACTGAGTAGTGAAAGGGGATTTGCAGTCTGACACCTTGTCAGTGGTGCTAGTTGGAAAGCAGGTTGTCTGTGTAATTTGATAGAATTCTTACCACACTGGCTTTTACTTCTGTGGACAATCCCAAGTGCCAAGAGAAAACATTACCTGTGTTCTCTATTGAACAATTGACCCAGTAAGCAGTGAGGAAAATGGTCTCCTAAATCATGCAGGGACAGTCTCCTCCGAACCATGCACTACACTAGAGAACTTCTAATTTGCCATCTCTCCCTCTTAATGGGTAATGAAGAGAAGTAGAAAAGGAAATTTATTACGATGTGTGCTTTTTTTTTTTTTTCTCATTTGAATACGTGTGTTTTGTTGGACAAGTCTGAGAATGTGTATTTTGGTGATGCTACTGAAAGTTTTACAAAATTTAGGAAAACTTAGGAACCCCAACAATGATATATTATAAAAAGGGGATATGTTCCATTATGATTTGCTCTCCTTAACATCTTCTGAAAAATTGATTGGGTCAAGCAAGTGAAATTATTTTGGCACTATGATTAATTGATTATAGGTTCTATCTTAACTATTTGTTTGTGGGGGGGGTGGCTTTTGTAGGTACAAAAAAAAAAACTCTTGCCACCTGGCTCAATCTATATAACATGCTATTTGTGAGAGAATAGAGAACAATACAAGAAAGTCTCGCTTACTGCGGTGAATCAAGCCCTTTTTCATTTTATTAATTAGGGTTCTTGTCAGTTTGGTAATGCTAAAGAGGTTAAATAATGAACCCCAATTAGATTTTAATTGCAGTCCAATTTAATTCACCTTCATTTAGCTGTGTAGTGCAGTTTGTAGAGGTAAATTACTATCTGTAAAGTTACTGATTAGCAATATAAAGGGTTGACCTAGGTTTATTGTAATGACTGAGTAGTTTGAGACTTCTTTTATTTTATTTTTTTGTAGCACATTAATACCTCTATTGGCTGTCACCCGAGACGCTTCCAACGATATAGTAGAGTAAAACTCAATTTCAATCACATGGTCTCATAACTGGTGCAGAATGCTTTCCTATGGAGAACTTTTATTTAACTTTTTTTTTTTTTTTTTCTACTCCGTATAGATGGGGTGCAGGGTCTGAAAAGTCTACCAGGGCATTATAATAACACTTGTGATGCACTTATTTCCTGCAAGGTGTATACATTTTACAAATTGTTTTCTTCAGTTTCATATCGAATTTAAGAATTAGTATCTGCACTAGGTGTTGGGCTCCATAAGGATTGGGTGTGTGCAACCATGCACCCACTAATATATCTAAATGGGGATAATCATAGAGAGGACTGTTAGACACACACAGATGCAGATTTTACAAAGTCTTGTGAATACGCAATTTCATCCATTACGTCTTGCACTGTTGTTTTTGGCATTTATATGGGGCCAACTTATTCCACAGCACTTTAGAATATTATAAAAAGGTAGTAATTTAACTATAAAGTAAGACAATTACTAAATGTTACAGGAGCAACAGGTTGATGAGAACCCTGCTCAAATGAGCTTACAGTCTAGAGGAGAGGGTTGAAAAACAATAGGAAGGGCAACTGCAGCCAAACAAGGTGATGTAGAAGAATTGGAGGTGAGCATGAAGTCTGACCCTTTTGTGTGGTTTGTGAGATAGAAGTTACTCTGGCAGGTCATAAGAGATCGGTTTTGTGGGACTTCTTGGGTGATTAAAAACCAGGGGAGAGTCTGATGGGGGAAGTCCTGCAAGCACAAGCTAGCAATACGGGAGTGAACAGGAGATGCTCAGAACTGTTAGAACTGTTAGGGTTATTATGATTTGTCATTTACATTTTCAGAGCCTTTTAGAACAACTTGTGTTTATTCACAAAGTTGTTTAGGTAAAATAAGCAGATCCAGAAACAGTCTTTAAATTATCTATAGCTATATCTTTGCTATTAATTTTTGACTAGATGGTGCCATTCAGATTTCAATAGTTTTTTTTAAAGTTTATAAAGCATATTTGCTTTAGGTAATAATTTAGCAAGTTTTCTGCTACAGAATAATAAACGCATAATTTGATTGGCTCCAAAGGTTAAAGGACCACTCTAGGCACCCAGACCACTTCAGCTTAATGAAGTGGTCTGGGTGCCAGGTCCAGCTAGGGTTAACCCATTTTTTCATAAACATAGCAGTTTCAGAGAAACTGCTATGTTTATGAATGGGTTAAGCCTTCCCCCTAATACTCTAGTGGCTGTCTCATTGACAGCCACTAGAGGCGCTTGCGTGCTTCTCACTGTGATTTTCACAGTGAGAGCACGCAAGCGTCCATAGGAAAGCATTGTAAATGCTTTCCTATGAGACCGGCTGAATGCGGGCGCAGCTCTTGCCGCGCGTGCGCATTCAGCCGGCGGGGCGTAACGGAGGAGGAGAGGAGGCAGAGAGCTCTCCGCCCAGCGCTGGAAAAAGGTAAGTTTAAACCCCTTTCCAGAGCCGGGCGGGAGGGGGACCCTGAGGGTGGGGGCACCCTCAGGGCACTATAGTGCCAGGAAAACGAGTATGTTTTCCTGGCACTATAGTGGTCCTTTAAAGGGACACTATAGTCACCTGAACAACTTTTAGCTTAATGAAGCAGTTTTGGTGTATAGAACATGCCCCTGCAGCCTCGCTGCTCAATCCTCTGCCATTTAGGAGTTAAATCCCTTTGTTTATGAACCCTTGTCACACCTCCCTGCATGTGACTTGTACAGCCTTCCATAAACACTTCCTGTAAAGAGAGCCCTATTTAGGCTTTCTTTATTGCAAGTTCTGTTTAAGATTTTCTTATCCCCTGCTAACAGAAACAGTGATTTAACTCCTAAATGACAGTGAATTGAGCAGTGAAATTGCAGGGGAATGATCTATACACTAAAACTGCTTTATTTAGCTAAAGTAATTTAGGTGACTATAGTGTTCCTTTAACTGGCAGAACAGACAGCCAGATGGGATCCACATTTTCTTTAAACACTTTATTCAATACTTCTCTACCCTTTCTCAATACTAGTTTTCCTGGCACTATAGGGTCTTTAGTTCGCCCCCACCCTCAGGGTCCCCCTCCTGGCGGATTGAAGGGGGAGGAAGGGGTTAAAACACTTGGCTTTCTCCTGTCCCGAGCTCCCTCGGCGCTGGGGAACTATCCTCCCTATTCCGACGTCATCCGCGGTATGCGCATGCACGGCAAGAGCTGCGTGCGCATTCAATAAGTCCATAGGAAAGCATTTCTCAATGCTTTCCTATGGATGTCCGCGTCTTCTCACTGTAATTTTCACAGTGAGAAGCGAGGAAGCGCCTCCTCTGTGAGGAGGTGCTGATTGGCCAAATGGTGTTTGGCCCCGCCCCTTACCAACTTTCAGCCCATGGGAAAGCATTGGATTGGCTAAAAGTCGGCAATTCTGATGTCACCAAGAGGGCCAATCTAGCACCAACTGACTCGCGGCGCTGGAAATCAGATGAGTTTTAATTGCTTTTAAGGGGTGTGGGGGGCAAACCACCTAAATGGTGGTTTAGCACTATAGGGTCAGGAATACATAGGTATGTTCCTGACCCTATAGTGTTCCTTTAAGGTGCTATAAGCCATTTTAGAATTGGCTCAGTCGATCTCGTGTATAAGTCGAGTGCAGTTTTGTGACCAACAATTGTGAAATATGCGATGCCTCGTGGATAAGTAGAGGGTAAAACTTGGCGCTATGAAATGTTGTGATTTTTATAATTATATACACACACTCATACAAACACACAGTCTGCATTATATACACACACACACTCTGTGTGTGTGTGAGAGAGAACTGGTGGGGGGAGGGCATTTTTATTTACATTTTTTTAAAAATTTTAATATTTAAATTATTTTTTATTATTTTACTTTTTTTTAGTCCCTTGCTTGTTGCCTGGCCAGGGAGGGGGGGCTATCTTAATCCCTGGTGGTCCAGTGGCATGGGCTGTGCAGTGGGGGAGCTGGCAGGAAGCATTTACTTACCTTTTTTCTGCAGCTCCCAGTGTAAGTCTGGCGGTCTGCTCGTTGCAACGCTCTGACAGCTGCGGGTCTCGTGAGATTTACACAGGGAGCTGACAGGGGAGCTGCACAGAGCTGACAGGAGCTGCAGGAAAGGTAAGTAAACGCTTCCTGCCGGCTCCCCAACAGGACCGCCGGGCTTGTAATGAGCCCGGCGGTCCTGGTCTGTATTATGGCAATGTAAGTTGCCATAATACAGACAGTGACTCGAGTATAAGTCTAGTGGGGGTTTTTTCAGCACAAAAAATGTGCTGAAAAACTCGACTTATACTAGAGTATATACAGGAGTTTTAAAACGGACTACTTACAATGGTTATGGTGCTGGAGTCTTTTAATCACAAACACCAGCACAGCTTCAAAACTCCAAATTAATTGTTCATAAGACTTTACTAAATGGATAGAATGTGTAGTATTTGGGTCCGTAGCAAGTGGTGTCTGGGTATTTTGTTGCATGTTTTGGTATCTGAGGGAAAGATATTTATTTTAACTGGTTTCTGTCATATTCTCACAAAGCTGCTGTGGAACCGCAAGCTAATAATTGCTCTGAGCACATACGTAGGTTTGCTAAGAAAGCGCTAGAGCAAAGGTTATGAAGGAATTCCCTTAACAGGCCTGTTTCTCTTAGCCACGGTTAACAGTATGAATAAAGAATGATGTTCTGTGAAAATTTCAAGAAATTAAGCAAGTAAAGGACTTTTTATTAATATATTCTCCTTTGTGCCTCATTTTGCAAATAAACCAGACCTGTTTGCATATCAAAATTTTTACAGTCCTGATTTTGGGATCTACTATTGCCTCCAGTACTTTTTCCTCTGGTTTCCGCATGAATAGAAAAGATTTTTTTTTTTTTTAAATGCACAGAAATTACTTTAGCTGATTTTATAAAATGCTTTTAATTAAATGCATCACTTCCAGTATTAGAGAGATCTTCCATGGAAGAAGCTTGTCCATATGGTTGACCAAGCCTTACTCGCCTTTTGCTTCGGTTCACTTTACAAGCACAGTCTAAAAGCCACTTCAGCTTCATAAAGTGGTGTGGGTGCACATTACACTCTAGCAATATTACTTCTGCATCCCTAACCATACACCCAGGCTGTGACATATTCTCCCTTTGCATTTCCGCAAAGGATTGTCATTTTTGTCCACAGTGGAATGTTTACTTTAGGACTTGCAGGGAAGACTTGTTTACTTCTCTTATTTTCCTCCTGGGATGAGTTCACAGACCTGTTAATTATTTATTACTATTATTACTGGCATTTATAAAGCACTAACAAATTCTGCAGTGCTGTACAACTGGGAAAAGTCACACAATAAGAACAGACCTATACAACAGGTAGAGGACCCTGCCCGTGAGCTTACAATCTAAAGGTTAAAATTGGGAGAGGAGACCAGAGGTAGCAGAGGGATTTGAATGTGATGGCAGAGATAATTAATAGTATACCTGCAGCATCTGATAACATGTGAGAGTAATAAGGAGGTGATTGGCTGCGGTTCAAACAGCTGGAGGTGCATGCTATATACATAGAAGGAACCAGGGTGGGTGGGTGGAGCCGAGTAAAATCAAATGGCCTTCCTGTTGCTGGGATGGATGAGGGTTTGGGCCCTTTAAAACTGCAGTTAATTGCATGCGAATACTGGGGCAGAAGGGGTAGATTTGAAGATATTTTGACTAGCTCTTGAAGCTATAATGTGTCATAATCCTTAATGATTGTAGTACAGCTTTTCACATGAGTTTGCCTTTTCTATTCTGTGTCTAAAAGTAATTATTAGTTTCCTTTTGTAAGGTTTGCATTATACATTTGTTTATAAAATTCCAACAATAAATGAAAAAAATTAATTTTATATATATATAGAGAGAGAGAGAGAGAGAGAGAGAGACGGACGTAATTATGGTTTGTATATTCAAGTTTGTTGGCCATTGAATTAATACTCTTTTATATAAATTTCAGTTTGGAAAAAAGAAGCAATTTAACTTTTCTATACCTACCCTAAAACCAGGGTACCCAACCCAAACTGCAGAAAACTATTCTAGATTTTAAACTTGTGCTCATCCTATGCCCATTTAGGTTGGTGTAACTAGTGAATGTTCTAGTTGTAGATTTACACACAATAATGCTCCAGAGAGGTTATATTAACATAGATGTGCATAGCAGTAATGACGCAAGTGTTTCTGTTGATTCTGAAATTTAGTATTTTTTTCATACTGGTTTCTGAAATGCCATGTTCACCATCTGTTATTACAACTCACACAGCATGGAGGTTTTTAGATAAATGCCTGTATTTCAGTGTAGTCATATGAATATATAAGCTGTAGGAATGCGAAGTGAAATCCCTAAAATACAACACAAAAAAAATTGCGGGGTATGAGAGGTAAGGAGCTTTCCAATAATCTGTTCTTATTTTCTTCTTGCAGAGTTTCCCATCAGATGAAGGTTGGCCTTTTGCTAAGTATCTAGGAGCTTGTGGCAGAATGGTGGCTGTAAACTATGTTGGAGAAGAACTGTGGAGTTTTTTCAATGCTCCTTGGGAGAAGCGCGTGGACCTTGCATGGCAGTTAATGGAAATTGCAGAACAGCTTACAAACAATGACTTTGAATTTGCACTTTACCTCTTGGATGTCAGCTTTGATAACTTTGCTGTTGGGCCCCGGGATGGGAAAGTTATTATTGTAGACGCTGAGAACGTGTTGGTGACAGATAAAAAGCTGATAAAGCAAAGTAAGTTTATTTATTTTTTTTTATTTTTTATTTTTTTTTTTTTTACGTAAAATGTTCTAAACTGCATACCATTTGGAAGAAATCGTATCAGTCATCTTAAGGTGTCAGGGTTCTAGTTTTCTGTTGAACCCTGTATGTGTGTGTTTGCATATGCATGGAATGGTGTGAAGGTGCTTTGTTTTACATGATTTTTCTTAATAGATTATATCTAGACAACAATTACAGGCTTACAAAGAAAATGCTTTTAAATAAAAATGAAGCACAGCATTAATATTTATCATTTAGTAAAGTAGATTGATTTAAAGAAACACTGTAGTCCCCCAGACCACTTCTTCTCAATTACGTGGTCTGGGTGCTGTGATACTTAAGTTTTAATCCTGCAATGTAAACCAATTTTTTTTTTTTTTTTTATATATTTTTTGTTTTGCTTTTTATTTTTATCTATAGTCTCCAAACAAGTGTTACTTTTGGGACTAAATGTTCCCTTTATCAAAACTCATAAACTAAACCACTGAGATTGCTTCAAGACTAAGAAAATGTGTGGTATCTTCACCGTATAATCCGCAAAGCTTTCATTGTAGATCCGAAAGCCTAAGCAGATATATCGCTAATGTCGGCTTGCTCCTAAATAGTGGCCATATTAATCTTGTCCTGCAAGTTCAGCATCTGTTCCTTTTGTGAGGCAGATGTGATTGGTGACGATGTGTGAATTAATCATTTCAATCAAAATCCCATATGTGAATGATACACTATCTTATGTTCTTGGTTTTTGTTGGCACAACACTGTAAAGACTTGGGAAGGGGGCAAATAAAAATTCTACAATAAGCTACCGTATAGGAAACTGTTTATAAAACTAGCATTGCTGTAAACAAACTACTGATACATTTTTGAAATACACATTTGCTCCAGATTTTCTATTTTGCATTGAATTATACATTTGCAACTGTAATTCTGTTTACAGATGCACATAGTATAAATTTCAAATTGTATGCAGTTATGCCACATGTGCATACAACTGGGGATTTATCAAAGTCTCTTGTGCTAATCAGTGGTGTAAAAATGTGAGAAAGCAAGCGTCACAATAGAATGTGCCTACTGGTTCCATTGTTTTCCAGTGGGATTAATATTTTTCCGACAATGCAAAGCCAGGACATCTGAAGATGAAAAATAGAAACATCAAAGTATAATTTCTCCTCTCTATGCTTCTATATGCTGACTGCCAAGTGCAAAGAACAGCGCTTATAACAATGATTGGCAGGAAGTTCAGATGAAGGATGCTGAATTAAATATGTAAAGAATAGGGGGGAAATTAAAATATAGAAATCCATGTTTGTTAAATATAGCAAACCATTTCGAGAGAAGTTCTTGTGACTTGCTTCTGTGGAGGTACCAGTGCTTGTTTCAACAGTACTTTAACTGGATCTCTGTCCCTTAGCATTGAAACGTTACAAACTTGGGCATTTGTTGTTGCATCCTGTTGTATATTGTTTGTTGGTATTGCTGTTATGTGCTTGTTAAACGGACACTATAGACACCCATCTCTTATTAAAGTGGTCTAGATGCAGTTTTCCAGTCCCTTTAACCCCGCATTGTAAAACACTACAGTTTTAGAGAAACTGTGATGTTTACATTGCAAAGTTAAAACTACCTCGAGTGCCACAATGCTTTACTAAGTGGACTCCTAATGTGCAGAGGGACACTATAGTTTTAGGATAACAGATTTTAACATTTATATTATACTCCAACAGCCAGTAGGGCATCATCTCAGCCCAGTATTTAGCTATGTTATATAAGAACTTTGAAAAATTGTCATTTTGTTCTGTTATGCTTCCCTTTTATAGTGTTTCTTTTTATTGGCATAGAGAAAGCATACTAGAAGAGAAATTAAACAATGTTTGGAACGTGTGCCATGGCTGCGATTGTGGGGCCACTTGTTAAATCTTTAATATACATTTAAAAGGTAATGGAGCATATGATAAAAAGGTTAACACAAGTCACTTTTTTTTTTTTTTTATATGCTATGAAGCGATTTTCAGTTATGTGGCATTCTCCCTTACAACTTCAGTTTAATCCGTGATAGAGCTAAAATGTATATGTTCCAAGACATGAGATTAATACTGTGGATGTTCTTTCAGGAAGAACATCATACAGGAAGTGTACAGATTAGAAAGTATAGGTATTTTAGCGCTCCAAAGTCCAAACTGATTGAAAATATATACCATGTATTGGAGTACTCATTGTGGCTACTAGATTGTAAGCTTGTTTATGAAGTGTCCTCATCAACCTATTCCTGTAACATATTCTAATCGTCTTGTTTATTGTTAAGTTTCCACAATATATAATATTGTAAAGCAATGTGGAATAAGTAGGCGCTATATAAATGAGAATAATTTTACTAGAAGCTCCTTTTCTTGTGGCCCTCTTGTTTTTGCCAGAATTTTACTTTACCAAGCAGGATCTTTTCTCAATCTCAAAAACAAACTTTGGTGGTAACTTACCATTGCCAAATTCACAACCATTATTTTGCATCATTCCAGAAAATTGTATTTCCTATAATCTGAAAATAAGCTAACAATATAAGCACCATTTGGAATAAGTATCATATGGAGCTAATAAAGAAGTTGATCCTGGTTATTATTGACTAATGGATAGATCAGCTAAAGCGTTTCCAAACCATTCTAGAACCAACTCCTACATAAAAGAGGCAAGTAGTACAGTAAGCTGCCTTTACAAAGGACAGTAAAATAAAACCATTTTCCCCAGAACTGTACCACATAATAAACCAAAATTTATCAGTTTGCTGCCTCGTTTTCCTAAACATACGCTGTGATTAAAGTTAAAGCAACCTGGGCATCCTTAGTACCCTGATCGCAATGTCCAAAATCTGTAAATGCATGTACAATTTTATTACCATAAGCTACATTGTTTTTAGACTTTGCATCTAATGAACAAACATTAAAAATATTTGTGTAAGACATTTAATGCATTATACTGCAGATGTAATGGTGAAACTGTCTAATAAAAACTACAAGGGCAAAGAGACGTTTAAACATGTTTGTTTATAAAGAAAAACCCAAATCTAACCCATGCAATGTTTTTGTTTTGTTATCCAGATAAACCAGAAAACTGGGATGTATGGTATGAGAGCAAGTTTGATGACTGTGACAAAGAAGCATGTCTGTCTTTCTCAAAGGAAACTCTTTGTACCCGTACCACAGTGGACCACAATTATTATGCGATCTGTCAGAATCTCCTGTCTAGACATGCCACCTGGCGTGGAACTTCTGGTGGTCTTCTTCATGATCCTCCTGCAGAGATTGCCAAAGATGGCCGTCTTGAGTCATTGCTGGATGAATGTGCTAACCCAAAGAAAAGATATGGCAGATTCAAAGCTGCAAAAGAATTACGAGAATACCTTGCACAATTGAGTAATAATGTGAGGTAGTCCATGTGGTTCCTCCTATTCGTTTTTACTTTTCTTAGTCTGATAAATAAAAGTTTAATTAGTTGAAGCACGTACAAGATATTTTATATCACTGCTGTATGTACAGAAGTTATAAATAGATGCTTTGCTGATGCCATGAAATGGAGCTTGTATGGCACAGAGGATGGTATGCAATCCTCTGCAATCATGCCAGGTACGTGTTCTTATCTAATTAAAACTGAAGCTACTATTGACTTTTTTGCTCGTTGATTACCTGAGAGGTACATCTGATGAGCATCCCCAGGTGACTTGGGATAATAGACTTTGATAGCATAATAGATTATTCATGTGTCAAACAGTAGTTGACATGACATTACATTAGTATCACAATTTTTGTGAAGCTGATGCCTTTACTTGAAAAGTTCAAGTTGAGACTGCTGGCCTGTTTTATAGGCTTTTTTCTTAAGTCATATCATATTTGTATGTTGATATACATATATAAATTTCAGGATCTGTGTTTTTTTTTCTTTTCGTTTTTTTACCTATGTCTCGTTGTTTTGCTTCTTAAATTACCCACTTTGGTGGAATGAGATGCTGAATGTTTAACCTTTTGTATGCTAAGCAGTTGGTACTCCCAGGCTTATGAGAGCAAGAATTTGTCATTTAAAAAATAAAAACAAAATTATATATTTTTTAAATTCATGTAAATAATTACCCCAGTTTCACATTAAACATAATCCCTTTTGTTTAAGTTCATCCAGACTAGATTTGGTTTGGCCCAATCGTTTGTCATTGTTCTGATTGATTTTGTGTAAGTATTCTGTGAAATACTGTTTAAGCCTGTACCCGTTCAGTTAATGCAACGGGACAGAGATATTTTATTAAATTGTTTTTTTGTTTTGTGTGATATACGGTGGTAAAGCACACACCAAAGAATAATAAAACAAATCACATCACATAATACTCAAGATTAGCAATGACTATAAATGTACATTTATGAATAGGTGAGATATGGAGTAGTGTCAGTCTCTACTTGCCCCTACTGCTTTCTGTTAGATTAATTGCAGTTATGCCCTTAAAATGCGTGAATTTTGTGAAAAGAATAATTTAAGTAAATTCTTATCTTAAAAAAAAAAGAAATTAAAAAGGTTAGTTTCAATATATTAAACTGCTATTGTTTTAAAAGCTGTTACACTGCAAATTGTTGTTGTTTTCCTGAGATGGTTGCAAATAAGGTGCAGATATGTGTGGATGTTTCTTTAGAGAGCTAGCAACTAGAGGTTTGGTAATTGCTTGGACAGCACACATTTGCAAACACCACACCGAAGCCTGTTTTGCTATATAAATTATTTTAATCCTAAATTTTGACACGTTTACCGCAAATCAGTCCTTGTTTATTCAGTATTTCAGTTTTTCATTGTGTTTAATGTTTTCTAAAGGATTTAAAATCTAACGGAACATAATTTTAAAGTGTTCTAAGCCTTTGTTCTGATATGGAGAATATATTTTCATATCTGTTCATTGAATCAATATGGAGTTACATGTTGGATCCAAGTAATGGAGAGTAACAATAGTGTAATTCTGGGTAGAGGTTTGTGTGTTTTTTATCACTGGCTTGTTTCTGAGGTTTACCTGATGGCAATTCTCCACACCCATTCAGTTTAAAGAAAAAAAGGACTTTTCAATGTGTCCTAAATTTTACAGTTTTTGTTTGGTTTAGCAATTATCTTTTGTTTTAATAACTTACTATACTACGTACATACGTCCCCGGATAGCCTGTTCAAGCAATCTTTGGCACAGCACCCACGTGGCTACAAAGAAAATGTAGCACTAATGTGAACTAAGGTTGGGCAAAAGTTTTATCTGATGGCCCTTGTCTGGTCTCCAAAGGGATTCTTTCATTTAAATTATTTCCTTTCTATGTTCTTACTACTCAATGCACCATATACTATATTGGATATAATATATATTATATACATATGAATTATATAATATAATTATAAGTCCAAGGTTTCAAGGAGTCCATGTTCTTTCTAAAAGTGTTAATGATCTTTTGCCAAGTTATCTGGGCCTTTAAGTTATGTTAAAGAATAAAGGCTTAAGAACATCTTGCTTTCCCACATCCTTTACCCAGATAACTCTGGTAGTCTTCTAGAAAAGCAAGATTGTATTTCTATTCCCCTTGCCATTTTACATGTGTACTGTCACCGTAACTGCATACAAATGCTAGAGATCTGTTGCGCTAAACATTCTATGCATAATTACACTCTTGAATTTGTTACAAGGCCCACACACTCTATTTCTATGCATTCCTGTTTATGAATTACTACTTTTTAAAATCATGCTTACATAAATTATAAATTCCTGCGGTGAACTTTATAGTAATCACTATCCTTCACTGAACTGAATATTGTGCAGGCCAGCACATGCACTCTTTAAAACGCACAAAATAGAGGGAGTGTCACATACAATTTGGTAACTTCATTAAAATTAGTTTTGTTTGGTATGCAACTAGGGATGCAACTTAAATTGATTATTAATAAAAGACTGTATTTCTTCTTAAATCAACCTGTAATGCTGGTCAGTCAGTAGAATAGAAAACAGTGCATCTGGCTGAGCATAATCGCTGTTCAATTTGTATTGAAGTGCTAGATATCACAGATTTATTGATTAAACCTGTAACTTCATGGAAGTTGTCTCTACGAAGAACAAAGGTTTTGGCCTTTAACTCCTGCCTATCGCTGTGTGGGTTCATATGCTTCAACAGTGGTCAGTGAGACGGCACCAGGGGACTCCAGGCACAATAATCCCTTAAATTAGATGTCTCTTTAAACACACAAACCTTTGTACTGTCTGTACTTATTTTTCATAAAGCATTCCATTTATGTACTTTGTTTCAGAAAGCAGATTTTGTTTTTAGCAGCTGGTGTAACCGCTATAGTTAAACCTAGTCATTGTTTCACTGTGTTTGTATTTGATAACTCTACCTACACACTAGCCTTTCAAGTGGGCATGAACACCGTCATGTATATTTCAGATTGTTCTCATGTTCACTTTTTAGATGCTTTTTCTATTCATTGAGCCTTTGCCAAAATCTTCAAATTTCCAAGCTCTAAAATGGGGTTAATAACTGATTTAATTAGCCTTGAAAGTGCTTGGTCAATTAGTTGCTATAGCAACATATAGCTTCTTATTGCATGCCACAGTTTTTGTGGCAATTAATCTTTTGCAAGGTACAAATACCACAGCTATGCTAACTTTTTTTTTTTAATATATATATTTTTTTCTCTTTTTACACACAAACACCGTTCGTCATTCACCATGCACCGCTAGCCTCAGTCTACTATACTATCATGCTTGAAAGGTCTTGTTTTATCACAGAAGTTGATTGAAAATTAAATGTGCGCCATTTCTGATGAACAGGTTGAACATTTTGTGTGATTGCTAAACCACAGAAGAGAAAACACTGCCAGCTCTGATTACTTTTCTAAGGGCTGGTTTGTTATTGCCAGATACACTCCTGCTAGATTCCATGTGCATGCACCCCATGCAGTACATTGAAATATTGTAATAAAAACAACCCTGCCAGCAATTTGGAACATTAATATAAACCCTACAGGGAGAGAGGAGTTTATGTGAGAAGCAATAAATCTTTTTGTTCAGTTTGCGCCAGGTTATTTATCGTTTTATTGTACAAGGCAAAAGACTATTCATATTTTTTAGTAGTTGCACATAAATTTTAAAGATTTTCTGTGGAATATTTTTGAATGACCAAATTGAGGGTTTGTATGTGCATTAACATTGTCTTTTTGTATTGTAAATTTACTGTTTAATTTCAATATTTCATCACAAATGTCTTCCTGTGCCTTTATATAAAAAGCTGTTTCCACAGCATCTAATGCAATTGATTAATAAAGAATACTTTTGAGACTTGTGTATTTTGTTTTAATACTTTTTACTAGATTATTGCTTCCCTCTGAGAGAAATTACTATTTTGAAGGCAGGTAAGTTAAAAGGGAATTTGTAATTTGCAAAACACAGACGATGGTGTTCATATCAGGTTGATAACAAACACTCCAGGTCCCAAAACATATCATTGTTTTGGTAGAACATTAACTTAGAGCAATTCAGTCAATGAAATACTATCTCATCATCCCTATATGTAGATTTTTAATTCTTTTTGTGCAGGATTACAATTGTATCCTAATTTACTGCTCAATATCTCTCACAGCATCCCATGAGAGAGGCTGTAAACATCTGGACAAGTGTCTGGTCTGGTTTTGTCAAAATTACTGGATGCACTAATGTAGTAAGTCAACACAAACTGAACTTTCTACATCCTCTTACATTTTGCATATAATTTTTTCACCAGTTTTAACGGGGGAACTTTAACTTTTCAATGCTATATTTATTGCTCTCCTATATTATAACTTATGTAGCGCCAACAGATTCCGTAGCGCTGTACAATATTATGAGAGGGGATTTAACTATAAATAGGGCAATTACAAGAAAACTTACAGTAACGATAGGTTAAAGAGGACCCAGTTCAAACAAGCTTACAGTCTTATAGGAGGTGGGATATAAAACACGTTAGGACAGGAAATGGCAATCAAATAAGGTGGAAGTGAAGCAGAGCTGGAGGAGAGAGTAAAGTGCTGCCCTTTAGGAGATAAAATGCAATCGAAAAAAAGAGAAACCTGGAGCTTTGGCGACAACCAGACCACTTCAGCTCATTTAAGTGGTGTAGGTGCAGTGTCCCAGGTCTCGTAACCCTGCAAAGGTAACTTTAATAAACTGCAATAATTACCTTTCCAACAGATCTGTATCGAACGTATTAAAAAAACCAAAAAACTCATTATCCAGAAACTAGACCTTTGTATCTTGGTTACCCTTTCAATCATTGTTATAAGCTCTGTCTTTTGCATATGTGCAATTGCAGTTCCAGGGTTACTATGGGCACCAAAACTATTTAAGCAGTTTTGTTGTTTAGATCATGTCCCTGCAGTCTCGCTTCACAATTCTGTTCTTGAGGAGTTAAATAAGTTTGTTTATACAGTCCATTCCCAGTTACATCTCCTTGCATGTGGCTTACACAGCCTTCCTAAACACATCCTGAAAAGGAACCTAGATATTTTAGATTCTTTTAGTACAGTCTGTTTAATCTAGAATGTTTTATCTCCTGCTCTGTTAATAGCCTTCTAGAGCCTGCAGGAGGGGGTGTGTGAGATTGATTATGATTTAAAGTTACAGAGCAAAAGAAAATACAAACTTCTAACCAAGTGCACATCTGATTGCAGCAGACATTTGTTTTCTTTTAGAAGGATACGATTACAAGAACATTTAATAATTAGACTTTATTGGAAAAATGTTACTTGTAAGCAGTAAAATTAATTACAAAATCATTAATTTTAGTGTTCTTGTTCAATTCCTCACCATGTCATGTGGCCATTGATAGATACCCATACTGTTTTGTTGAATCTTAAAAAGGAAATCTATTTTGACATACACTTGTATTCACAATGCTTTAGAATGTTGTACACTTAGTACCTTGCACTCAAAAGAAATAGGAACCATGAAAGCAGAAAACTGATTCACAAGAAATTGAGATCACCCTATGAATGAATAAATGTATAAATTGAAAAAAACGAAATTAGAGTGCTTGACTGACAGTTACTGCTGATATAAAATATTATGGTATTTGCTGCAATCCAACAAATCTCATAAAAACCACATATAAATATATTTATTACATTGCTAAACACAAATACATACACCAGTCAAGCCGATAGACTTGCTTTTCCCAGAGAAATCTCACTTTAACTGTGCTCTCACTACTGCAAGGGATTCTTGGTAGGCATATGCAAATGAGCTCAACAAAGGACCACATTTTTGCCTCATAATTCCACTTTATACATGGATTCCTTGGAGTATGTGTCTGCTGTATACAACAGCTTTGAAACACAACTCTGGAAGAGGAGCAAAGCCAATGAACCACCAATAGACAGCTGTTTTGTTGTTAATGCAACTCATCAGTATGAGGTTGGTTACTGGCTTGCTATGGAGGCTTGGCGTTACTTGTAAAGTAAATGCCAACAAGTGTGGTGGGGAAAAAAAGTGTGGGTGAAATCCCCTTCCAGCTGAAGTGGATAGCTAATACATTTCTAAATACAAATACACACACCAGTCAAGCCAAAAGACTTGCTTTTCCCACAGAAATCTCACTTTAACTGTGCTCTCACTACTGCAATGGATTCTGGGTAGGTGTATGCAAATGAGCTCAATGAAGAACCACATTTTTGCTTCATAATTCCACTTTATACATTGATTCCTTGGGGTATGTGTCGGCTGTATACAACAGCTTTAATTTTATTTATTTATATATATATATATATATATATATATATATATAAACAGATTTAATTTGTATCTTGTACAGACACTCCTTACTTACCGACCGGGTTCCGTTCCTATGACCCGGTAGTAAAACGAATTGGTTGGTAAGTGAGGAGTTCAGGGGATTTCCTGCTCTGCTGTGTTCTTCTATGTTCAGGGAATGGTCCTTGAACGTAGACGAATACATCAGAGCAGGGAATGTGCATGTCTGTGTTCAGGGACATTTCCTTAAATGCACAAGAGCAGGGAATCCCTTTAATCTATGCTCAGGGACATTTCCCTGAACATAGAGTAGAGGGATTCCCTGCTCTGTTGCGTTTGTCTTTGTTCCGGGAAATATCCCCAAACATAGCAGAACACAGCAGAGCAGGGAATCCCTCTAATTCCCATGACCGCTCGCACTTGCCAACCCGTGAGAGAGCTGGTCGTACGTGTGAGCTGTCGCAAAATGAGGACCACCTGTAATAGCTTTTTTTTTATTGTGCTAACAGAATTTTGTAATGACAAGCTTTCGGGAGAGCTTCCTGAAAAAACAAAAACAAACCACACCACACCACACCACACCACACCCTTGTGCTCACTGCTCGCTGGTGGTATTGAGTGGATTAGCGTAAAAATTGAGAGCTACTGTACTGATATACAGGTGATACTCTACAAATTAGAATATCGTGCAAAAGTTAATTTATTTCAGTAATGCAACGTAAAAGAGGAAACTAATCTATGAGATAGACGCATTACATGCAAACCAAGATAGTTCAAGCTGTGATTTGTCAAACTCGCCTGACCTGAACCCCATAGAGAATCTATGGGGCGTTGCCAAGAGAAAGATGAGACATGAGACCGAACAATGCAGAAGAGCTGAAGGCTGCTATTGAAGCATCCTGGTCTTCCATAACAACTCAGCAGTGCTGATCGCTTCCATGCCACACCGCATTGAGGCAGTAATTGCTGCAAAAGAGGCCCAAACCAAGTACTGAGTTCATATGCATGCTTATACTTTTCAGAGGTCCGATATTGTTCTATGTACACTCCTTGTTTTATTGATTGCATGTAATATTCTAATTTACTGAGATTGTGGATTTGGGGTTTACATGAGCTGTAAGCCATAATCATCGCACTTATGACAAATCATGACTTGAACTTTCTTGCTTTGCATGTAATGCATCTATCTCATACACCCTGTTTCAAATATTTATGCAAATTCTATTTAAGTGTCACAAAGATGAAATATTTTGGTTTTCAGTTTAACTCATGAATGGCATTGTGTCTCAGGGCTCTTTTGATCACTGAAAACAATCTCGGACACCTGTGATAATTAGATTGCCAGGTGAGCCCAATTTAAGGAAAAACTACTAAAGGAGGGTGGAAGAAAAAGGATGTGTCTGCTGCTGAAAAGAGTGAAATAGTTCAAGGCCTTGGATGAGGTATGAAAACATTAGATGTTTCACGAAAACTTAAGTGTGCTAATCGCACTATTAAGAGATTTGTGACTGATTCAGAGCACAGACGGGTTCGTGCAGATAAATGCACATTGAGGAAGTCTTCTGCCAGATTCATGCATCGGATCAAGAGAGCAGCTGCTAAAATACCATTACATAGCAGCAAACAGATATTTAAAGCTGCTGGTGCCTCTGGAGTCCCACGGACATCAAGGTGTAGAGTCCTCCAGTCTTGCAACTGTGCATAAACCTTCTATTCGGCCACCACTAACCAATGCTTACAAATAGAAATGGCTGCATTGGGCAGAAAAATACATGAAGACTAATTTTCACACAGTCCTGTTCACTGATGAGTGCCGTGCAACCCTGGATGGTCAAGGTGGATGGTTGGTGGACGGCCACCCTGTTCCAACAAGCCTGCAACGTCAGCAAGGCGGTGGTGGAGTCATGTTTTGGGCCGGAATCATGGGAAGAGAGCTGGTTGGCTCCTTTAGGGTTCCCGAAGGTGTAAAGATGACCTCTGCAAAGTATGTGTAGTTTCTGACTGACCACTTTCTTCCCCGATACAGAAGGAAGAACTATGCTTTCCGTAATAAAATCATCTTCATGCATGACAATGCACCATCTCATGCTGCAAAGAATACCTCTGAATCAGTGGCTGCTATGGGGATAAAAGGAGAGAAAGTCATGGTGTGGCCTCCATCCTCCCCTGACCTCAGTCCTATTGAGAACCTTTGGAGCATCCTCGAGCAAAAGATCTATGAGGGTGGGAGGCAGTTTACATCCAAACAGCAGCTCTGGGAGGCTATTCTGACATCTTGCAAACAAATTCAAGCAGAAACTGTCCAAAAACTCACAAGTTCAATGGATGCAAGACTTGTGAAGCTGCTATCAAATAAGGGGTCCTATGTTAAAATGTTGTTATAAGTTTTATTGAAATAGCTTTTGATTTCAGTAAATATGCTGCAAACACAACAAATGCCAATTTTCAGTTCTTTACAACCTATAAAGTGTTTTGAAGCTTACTGTGCGTAATAATTTGGAACAGTGCATTGTAAGTTTTTTATGTTTAAAAAAAATACTGTTATCATTAGGAGGTTTGTTCAATAAAATTTGAATTGTACTCTTAATAGTTGATAACATGAGAATTATGCTGACTGTTATTTACATCAATTATTTAGGTAAATGAGAAAAATATTGTTTGCATAATAATTTGGAACAGGGTTTGTATTAGTTTCCCCTTTTACGTTGCATTACTGAAATAAATGAACTTTTGCACGATATTCTAATTTTTCGAGTATCACCTGTATTGTGTAAATCCCATTAGGTAGTGTTGACTTTTACATTCATGCCACAATTCTGTCACCACATTTAATTATGTGACAATCAAATATACTCCAGGTGTCTTTTTTTCATCTGTGTATACATTAGATACATTAACCCCTTAAGGACGGAGCCAAATGTATACGTTGTGAACGAAACTAAATGTAAACAAAACCTGGCATTTGCGCTACATGTCTGTCCAACTGTAATTCACCTCTTTCATATTAAATGCACCCACCCTTATTATATATCATTTTATTCAGGGGAAACAGGGCTTTCATTTAATATCAAATATTTAGCTATGAAAAATAATTTAATATGAAAAAAATGGGAGAAAATAAGATTTGTTTTGATTTGTTTTAGTTCTACATGACATTTTAACTGTCAATGTCATAATACTGTTTGCTTTTACTGCAATAAAATACACATATTTGTATTCAGCAAAGTCTTACGTGTAAAAGAGTACCCCCTATGTACAGGTTTTATGGCATTTTAGGAAGTAACAGGGTCAAATAAAGCACGTTACATTTGAAATTGAAATTCGCCAGATTGGTTACGTTGCCTTTGGGACTTTATAGTAGCCC